GCCGCCAAGATCAATGTCGTCTTTGGTAAGCCGGACTCGTCTCTGATCAGTTGGATCTTCTTGGTATTGCCGGACATCCTGATCCAAAGACTTGTAGCAAGCAAAAGCCATGTTCTTATTCAGAGTCAAGAACGCCCTCCGAAGCGCATCAAGTGGTGTCTCATGCTGCTCAGGGCGCATTCTCTTCAACTCAGAAGAAAAAGTGTGAATGAAATTCTCGTGAAGGAATTTGGCAATTCTTGAACCTCCGCTGGATTGAGACTGCCCGTCAAACATACCAACGACCGTTTCCACCTTGTCCGGCTTCAGACGAGGCACAATCATATCGAAGATGGAAAGATGCTCGCTTTTACCGAGAAAGTCAGCCATACCGTATGCGAGTGAGCCCGCAAGTGAAGCTGATGTCCTGACTCGACGATCTTCGTTTTCCTCAGGGATCGTTGTAATTGTGAGAGTGACATCCATTAGTCCTAGAACGCGCAAATGGGTGAGGGAAGTGAAATCTGTGAGGTTCGTCTGATGCTTTGGCTGTTGCTGTTGGTTTGACAGGGAAGATCCAGGAGGCTTGATCTCAAGTCGTTTATTGCCCGAAAAGTTGAGGTACTTGAGGTTCCGGTTCCAGTTCCAGTTCCAGTCATAGGGCCAGTTGGAGACATTATACTTGAGAGAGTTGCTGCCAACATCCAAAATCGAGAGTTTGCTGACCTTACAAAGCTCAGCGGGAAGCACTTGGAAGCGATTCGCGTTGATGTGGAGAACCCTGAGGCTGCTTCCTTCTTCAAGATCATCGGAAGGAAGAGATGTCAGTTCGTTGCCAGAGATGTACAATTCGGTCAGCAGCGGCCAGCGTCTTAGCAGTCCCTGGGGGAGCTCGGTTAGTTCGTTATAAGACAGGTTAACAATACGCAGCTCCGGGATCAGAGAAAGTTCGCGAAATATGTCGTCTTCCAAACGATTATCAGCCAGGTAAAGGTTCCGAAGTGAGCCGCCAAATGTCGTCGCCACATGCTGAGAGAAATTAGAGTCCTTGCGTGAAGATGGACTTCCGTCAGTCAGCGACCGAGATGCAGCAGATACTTTCCTGCCTTGGCCGAGGGAGGATGCGACAGAGGGCTTCCGGTAAGCGCCACCGTTTGGAGAGCTTCCAGTACTAAGCACGCCGCCCGATGTTTGGCTTGGTCGTCGAGCCTCTTGCTCCTCCAAAGCACCTAGCTCCTCATAGCTAGGTGTTGTCGATACGCCAGGCGTCGCGGCGGGAGTGCCAATCGGTTCGCTGGGGACTTGAGGCTGCGGGCTCCCGTGCTTCGGGAAACCTTCAAGGACGTTCGAAGAGACGTTCAGAGTTTCGAGCCTCAAGCAATGCCAGATTTCTGGCGGTAGCCTCCTCAGATTACATTCCCTCAAATTGAGATACTTGAGCTCCGTCAAGCAGCCAATCGTGGCAGGAAGAGCTGCGAGGGGATTTTTGATCATGCTGAAGTGCTCCAGCTTGCGTAATTTGCCGATGTGAGGTGACATTGACACAAAGTGATTCTTGTCCAAAATAACCTTTGTAAGATTAGGTAAATTCTCGAAGAAAGTGTCCCGTAACTGAACAAGCTTCGCAGAGGCAATATTGAGAGACGTCAATGTGGGCATAGGTGCGTCGATTTCGAATTGAGTCATAGGGCAATGGTCAAGTGCCAGAGTTCTGAGCTTTGGGAATGATCCCTTGAACTTCGATATAGCATTGTGACCAATGGCTACCTGCTCCAGGCGAGGGAGAACACACAGGGTGTCAATGTTCGTGATTTCATTGAACCTCGCATCAATTTCCTTCAAGTTAACGAGATCCCTGAAGGTATCATCCAAAGCACCCCTGACTATGTTGTTCGTCATCCAAATTCGCTCGAGTGTCGCGAGCTTGCCGATTTGTGGCAGCTCCGATATATTGTTGAAGCTGATATCTAGATCAACTAGACTCTTCAGGCCGCAGAGGAGGTCAGGGAAGACTTTGAAGTTGTTTGACGATATGTTGAGGCTCCTCAGATACTGAAAGTTACCGAAGTAACTAGGCAACTTGGTGAGCCTATTATTGGCCATTTTTATGCTGACAAGTCCGTGCAACCTGTCGAGGTTGGCAAGAGTCAGGTCCTCCAAGAAGTTGTTAGACACGTCCAGATATGTCAGCCGACTCGCAAGTCCAAAACTTGCGGGAAGCCGAAGAGCCTCATTCCCAATGAATTTGATTTCTCGAAGGTTGATGCATCCCTGGATAAAGTCCTTTGGTACGTCCAATGCTAGGTTCTTCGACAGGTTCAAAGAAATAATCTCGGGGGCTTTCTTGTAGAGACCAATGGGGATCGTGACAAGGCACCGATTGGATAAGTCCACATGGCTGAACTTTTGCTGAGCTTTGCCAAGGGGATCATTGCCATCGATGATGTAGCCAGTGATCCTAGCCGGTAGAAACGTGAAACGCAGAATGTAACTGTGATCCTCCCGGCCGACCTCTTCGATTCGGTCTTTCTCAGTATAGCCCACTTGTTCGAGCATTCGTTTCTGCATGAGTATGGGCATCTCGGTCTGATCGAGCTGTCTCGAAAGGTCATTCTTCTGCATGACTAATTCGTAATTACTGATATGCTCAGTGAGGAAAGACTTTCGACTAAGTCCATGCACCAGGTCTGCAACAGTGGCGTATAACCCACCCGAGAGGGTAGCGAATGTAGCATCTGGACGGAAGATCCGTATGTACCAATTCGGTCCATCCGGCTCGGTAATCGTAGGGCCAGGTTCAGAGGTGTCCTGGGGGAGTAACGTAGACGGCTCGTTCTGCTTCTTCACATGCCAACTTTCCGGGGCGTCCCAATTTCCTGCGGGCACCGCATCACGCCGTCTCGTTTCCTCGGACCGGATGGAAGCACCATCAAACATCTTGCTCTTTGCACTCGGTGATGGCGGGTTTACAATACCTTCCATGTGAGAGAGGTCTGTATCGAGCTCCCACACATTGGATCTGTCGGGTTGCCTAGTATCCTTTCCGGGAGGAACCTCATTGCCATGACCTCGACGACCCCTCAATTTCGCGGAGCCGATGGCTAAGCCTTTACCGTCCCTTTTGCGCTCGTTATCTCCCGAATCGGCCAAGCGGGAGGATGTTCCGCTTTCAATGCTGCCCTGCCGTCCACGCCTGGCTGGCGAAGCTTCACGTCGAGACAACTTTGAAGCAGCAGCTTTAGTGGTCTCTTGTACTGCCTTTGACCCGGTGATATTCTTCAAATGACCGTGTTTCGGACGACGTATTTTGTCGAGGAAAGATCGCTTACTTGTCTGTGCCCCGGGCGAATTTTGGCCCTGTTCTCTGGAGTAGGCACTTTGAACGCTTGGGGTTGGGCTGGTTGAACGGCCAACAAGTGTCGTAGTCGAAGTCATCGGAGTTGGATAATTCAAGCTGCCTTCCCTAGACGGGCGAAGTCCTAGAGATAGATCGTCTCGTCCCGTCGCTGGGCGATTGGAATAGCCTGCTAAATCACCAGCAACTGTCGGCTTCTCTTCCTTGCTCCGCGAGTGGCGGTGGCCGCTGAAATGCCGCCGAGATTGGTCTCTTTGGGACACCGAGCCGCGTTGGCCATCAGCCGTCATTGTGGGTGCTTCTCGGACAGGAGCCTCGCCATACTGGGGTATATCCTAACATAGGTTCAACATCAGTCTCCTACTACCCAACGGATACAAATCTAAACACCAGTCACGTGATATACGGCAGGCAAACGATGGCTTGCTGCTGTATGGAAACGAAGAAAAGCATACTAGGCGTTGAAACTTACGTTGAAACTTTGGTATAACCACGGGGTGATTTCGCTCGAGGGTAGAGGGGTGTGAGGTCGTGCTTGGTTTGGAGCCGGTGAAGCTCCTGGGTTTCGGGAGCCATCGGAATTGGCTCTCTCGCGTGCTCGGAATTGATCGAGAGAGGAAGGCTTCGTAGCCGAGTTTTGAGTGAAATTGTCCGAGTCATGTCTCGGTTCCCCATTTCCGACATATTCATCGCCGAAGAATCCTTGCAGCTTCTTTTTGAATAGCGCACCAGCACTAGACTTGGAACCTTGGCTACTAACAGTCATGGCGCTGGCGACAGAAGGCCTTCGGTGATCACCATTGTAGTCTAACTCTAGAGGTTCGCTTGCGTAGGTCTGGGCCGTACCCGGACGGAATAAGTTGGACGCAGGAGAAGCCTCCTGCTCCGAATAGTCATTAAAGAAGGTTGACGGACCATCATTTGGTGCCATCGTGGGAGAAGAAGCAAGCGAGGGTTCTGCGTCCTGGTGGGAATTGTCCGGCGGATTAAGATTTAGTTGTGGCGGCCGATTATTCAAGTTTGCTGTTGGTGAAGTGCCGGGATCCTCAGTTCCCAGCAAATTCATGGCCTTCCTGTGGCTGCCAAATTGAGGAGGTTTACGTTGGTCTTTAGGGGCGAAATCTGAACCCCAAGAAAAGATGGAAGAATAGAGGTCATTTGGATCTTTTATTGTTGGTGATGCGCAAGTCTGTGGATCTGGCCTGGTAAAGAGTCAGTAAAATGTAACAAGGACTCAAAGGTCATCATGAGCCCATCGCTTTCTATAGCCTTCGATCATCCCATCAGATAGCACCATGCGTGCAGTGACTGAGCAGTAGCATAATCCAAGAACGAAACGGCAGCATTCACCATTACGGTGAATGAGAAGTAGAATCCCAGACGACATAACAACGGACATGGTAGAGCGTATCTAAACGATATCATGAAGACAAGCCAGCATTGCACGTGGCAAAGGTAGCGTCATTCATTTTGTTTCGCCGACAGCAAAAGCCATCAGAAACACCAAGGCCATCCCCATGACGGCTACATCTGCAACCTCCGACCAGAAGCGATAAAAAGGAAGGAAGAGCGGGCATGGAAATTTCGCCTACCTATCCGTGTCTCTGAACCCCGATAATGGAGAAACGCTGCGCGCATTCGAAGGTTCATGATTATGCTGTGGTTGATGGCTTCGACCTTCTCTAACAGTCTCTTGCGACAACCAGCTGTGCGCCCCTGAGCTCTCCGAGCTGCGTCGCCCCCCGGATTGATCACTGTTTCGATGCGACATGCTTCTGAGTTATGAACAGTTGTTTGGGGAGGGGGCGTGGCGAATAAACGACCGACTGTCACCTGAAGCGGTTGCCGAAGAGGGAAATAGGGGGAGGGAGGGAAAGCATTAATGAGATCGGTATCGAAGTTAGGGCGACAAAGACGTGAGGGAATTATGAGCTCGTGAAGGCGTCGTGCGAGGAACCGTTGGTGAATCTGATCGGTAGGCTGATCTCGAATAGCGTGGGGATATAGATACTGCGTCGTCGGTATAGGTAAAGATTATATAAACTCTAAAAGTAACCAGAACGCCTCAGCGAATATGTACCACCGGAAAGGGAAGGCTTGCCACAGGTAGTTATCACAGTACGAACAGTATACGATCGTGGCACGGGGTTTAGCGTCGGGCGCGACGGTGTCAAGACGTGCTTCATGTTCTGGAGGGTGAGCGGCAGCGGTCAGGAAACGCCATCGCACATTCTGGGACGAGGACAGCCAGGCCTGCGACAGGCTCAAGAATGACGGCAGGTGGGGGGTAGGGAGGAAAAGGGGGCGGGACGGGAGGGGAACAAGAGAGTTGAGGGAATCAAAAAAGATGGAAGTAGTAGAGGGGAAGAAAGGGGAATGGGAGAAGGTCAGAGGGCCACCAGCATGAACCGGACAGGTGAGGTTCGCGTGGATGGAGTTTAGGTGGTGATTAAGTTGGTGTGGTGGTGACGGTCGGCGGGAGGAGTGAACTTGCGCAGAATTGGAAAGGGCGTTGAGGCTCTGACCACGAGCAACCCGCTAAACCGGACCGAGCAGCAGCAGCAACAGCAGCAGCTCCCTCTCTGGGCATTTGGGAGGGGGAAGTGGTTCAGACTCTGGTGGGCCACTGCTCGGAAGCTACTGTAAGCTCCCTCCCAAAAAAAGTCCCCAACTGGTTTGACCGGTGGGCATGATGTCAAGATCCGGCTGGTCTGTTTCTCTGTCGCTCCGAAAATGTCGTACCGATTGGGGCAAAGTCCCGATACCTTAGAGGCTTGAGTTTGCATTTCCGGCGTGAGAAATCTTATTATTAAGATTTAATCCGCCAGCTCAGATTCACTTTGTGAACCATTTAGGGAGCTTGAAAGGGTCGTTTCCGGGGCATGCATGGTCCGTGAGGACGTCCGTGCTTTAACAGGATACATACACTACGGCAGATAATCACAGCTAGCTTGCAATGCTACCTAGCACACAGGACCGGACCTCTCTAGTCTGGATGCCGGGATACCCGGCCAAACTCCCAGGGCTTTTTCCCGGCAGCTTGGAGTCTTACCAAATTTTTGACGGTTAAAGCGGCAATGGTTCAATGGCCGAGAATTCGAGCAGCTGATGATACTTAGTAAGTTTCAGCTGTCTATCTAGTAGACACGCCCTTTTTCCTTTTTCTTTGTCATAAGCGAACGGAGTATCTATGGTCAACACGACTGGGCCTGCCCTACCAATCAGATCTCATGTCATCCCACTCCTGAGCAGGGACTCATGCACATGAGCGATTGTGGCGTTCCGTTGATCGCCAGATCATTGCACCCCTTGGCAAGCAGTCTACTACTGGCTTCAAAGCTTACCCTGGGGCAGCATTTATTAAGGGTCTGATTTTCTAGACCACTGTCGCTGAAAATCCGTATAGCAAAGTTCACTCGACCTACGTTGTACTTATTATAAGACACATTGGCAGACATTCTGGACTCAAATCATGGCCTGGTGGCCCATGCTTATTAGGGATATTTTTCCGAATAAACAGCAAGTTGTTGGTCCTTGAACCCCCACTGGCTCAACCCCACACCGTCACTTTCCTTTCCTTTTGCGCCCGTCCTTCCTCTTGAGGAATCCGGATAGCTCGCTTAGATGCGATCTATTTGCGTAGCTTGTTATATAATAAGACACCTTTTGGATGGGGACTCCAACAGCCATGGGGGTTTCACTGTGGTTACAAGGAGAGTTTGTGTGCAACCAAGGCCTCTCTGAAACATGCTTGCTTGTTTCAAGACTTACTCCTTCTCACCATGACCCTTCTCGCCCCTGTCATTCAAGGAAGAGACATCTTGAGGAATGATGCCATGAAGCTGAAAGGGATGAATCAGAAAAACAAATATGTATTGATCAACCCGACGAAAGCGGTACAGCGCCAATATTTGCTGGAAGTTCCGCCAACTTCATGTCCTTCTTTCTAGGTTTGCGACAGTACAAAGCAAACAACACATCCCATCCAGTAAGGTTAACCGAGCTGAGCGATTGTCAAAAGCACAGCACTAGTCACTGGTCCCTGAGATGATAGAAAGCAGCGTAACCATGCTAGAGCAGATTCTCAACACCTGTTCAACAAATTTGCTTTTGTTGAGCAATAATGAGGTCCACTTGGAGGGCCATGTTTTCTTTGCCATATTTTCCGTTTGATTTATTGGCTTATATTTCTGCTCCTGGGCAACTTTCGAGGATCAGCTAACGTGTAATGCTAAGATGTTGGGTAAACGCAGTATGCTGCTTGAAGTCTTCAAAGAGATATATATATATATATATATCCAAAGTGGCACTAACCGTACCCGAGTTTATTGGAAGTATGACGGTAGTATCGAATCATAATATAGTACTGAATTTATATAAAAGTACCCATCAGACGGTCAAAGGCGGCAGGATATAATCATTCGCAATATTTTTAAGATTTCGCCAATGACAACGGGACCGAGCGCTTCAGGCTTTTAGTGGATATATATATACAAAGTATGCTACTATAGGCCTCATTTTCAGATGGGCCGATTGAAGAGAATACCAACCTAGAGCACTATTAATTTGAGCATGCAGACATCACAGTTGACCCGCATTATTGGGCGCAGTAAAGGTGCGTCTCCATAAGCAGATCGGAAGTGCTCCGTAGTCGGGTTTTTAATTCCGAATGGCACCTGCAGGTCGCTGAAGTAAAGAGGATCTCTCGAGAATTATATCAAGATTAGGAGTGGTTACCTGATAACTAGCTATAAATGGCCCTGCCTGACCCGAAATGATTCTACACCCTATGAGGAGCATATGTAAAGTGACAATTCCCACGGTTGGGATACCCTGGATTAGACTCAGTAATCGAGCTCTAGGTGCTGGCACAGTTACTTGGAGTTTGCAACGATGTCATACTGTTCGTAGCTGATGCTCGAGCCTGGAACTTGATAACACTGTATCTGGGTGAAAGTCAATTTGTTACAATGGTTCCCCACAAGACACATATACTTCGCTGTCCTCAAGCCACAGCATCGCTCTGATATCAGCGGCTAAGCGGGGATTGTCAATGAACCATGGGGGCTCAGATACTATCCGTGGACAAGGCTTGGGTAGACAGGGGTTGTCTCACCTGAATTGATAAGACAGGGAATTGCTAGTGAACAGGATTTTGCTCTACGTGAGCTGCTTCCCGTGGGGTGTGGAGCGTTAAGCATGAAATGGAACTGGTAGCGGCCCACGAGCAAAGCCTGCAGCAGACCGTAGTAATGCGTGCCAAACAGACTAGCCAGTAGCTATTTCTTATTAAAGAGATATTGTTGTGTTATAATTCTAGATCACCAGGGTCCGGATAGCCTAATAGGTGCAGATGAAAAAAGAGGAGGCTGGGGGTGGAGCGGACGGGCGGTGATCGGCTCCAACTCAGGTGGCGGTTGATGCTATTGTTGGAAAAAGCCTAAAAGCTGCGCGACCGCTGTCCTTGAGCAGTTGATGGCCGCATATGACATGATGGGGAGGACGAAATTTCTGAGTGTATTACAGAGTACGGAGTACTTATCTGCCGTTTAACGAAATGCGACAGGTGTCAAGTGATGGTCATTATTCTTATACTGGTACGTATTGTGGTTTGGACTGACGGGTAGCCAGCTTATTGCCTTTTCAAGTAAGCAAAAATACTACTATGGAGGAAAGTGGGCGGTGCTTGCCGCTGGGAATGTTAGATCCTTCATTGATAAAGCTGTATCACGGCCAGATAACATTGTAAGCTATATAGTAGTAACCATATAGCTTGAATTACCACCAAGCTAATGGGTCCATCTCATTCCTTCGGGATAATCATTTTGCCTGCGCCATACTCTATACAGAGAGATCATTCAAACTCATTTCCTACGTCGCATCCTCTACGTAAGGTACAGTCATGGTCGAACTTCCCAAGCCAATCAGCGGGGCGGATGGGGCGGTGATGAGGCCCCATGAGCGACCCGGTGACTGCCCGATCGGGCATAATGGCGATGACGGGGCCGAGATGGAGCAACAGCAAAAGCGAGGAGGCTGGACCAAGAAAACCATCAGTCCTACCGTCTGATGGGGTACGAGGACTCGGAGCTGTCCAGACGGACGGCGAGATTTGCACCTTCCTCCGCAACTAATTTCGTCTGTGCCTTAAATACGATTGCGTCCCTACTCTTGGCTTGTGAATGATGGCTGCCTCGAGTTTGACTCCTCTCAATCACCACCGGCACCTTCCTGCGCCGTGACTTCGCCGGCCAAAGTGGTCTTGCATTAACCCAGTATTGATGATCCTCAGTACCTGCCCATCCTTCTGATCAAAAACCCTCGCACCTCGATTCTTGACCCCTCCTCTCCTCCGTCAAAAGTAAGATACACAATAAGCCGGTTATTGAACTGTGTCCGCCCTCTCAACCTGCGACGTTGATAAAGTGAATTATCGCCGGGATATCTTGTTCCCACCATGAGACTTCCGCTTGTTAGCTCGACAATCGCTCTCCTTTCCAGCGCCAGCTTAGTTGCAGCGCAGACATACACCAATTGTAACCCATTGAAAAAATGTAAGTGTCCAAATCGTGCGTGTGATGGGCATGCGCAGCTAATACTTCTAAAGCATGCCCCGCGGATCCCGCACTTGGGAAATCAGCGAGCTATGACTTCACCCAAGGTAGTTCTTCCGACTTTACTGCAACCGGTAGCCCGACCTATGGTAAAGATGGTGCCGAATTCACCGTGGCTGAGCAGGGCGATGCGCCATTGATCCAGTCCAACTGGTACATCATGTTTGGGCACGTGGAATACGTGATTAAGGCTGCCCCCGGAACGGGTATTGTCAGCAGTGCCGTTCTGCAGTCAGATGATTTGGATGAGATCGACTGGGAATGGCTTGGAGGGAACGATCAGCTTGTGCAAACGAACTATTTCGGCAAAGGAGATACCAGTAGTTACAATCGTGGAGCTACCCATAATGATCCTGGGAACCATGACGACTTTCACACCTATACCGTGGACTGGACGAGCAAGCAAATCGTCTGGCAAATCGATGGCACAACGGTCAGAGTGCTTACGCCGGACACTGCTGATACGAATCAGTACCCCCAAACTCCCATGGTGGTCAAAGTAGGAATCTGGGCTGGTGGCGATCCCAGTAACCCTCAGGGCACAATCGGTGAGTGTCTAGCCCCTTGTCACTGCAATATTCCCTTTCCCCTGGTGTGCAATATGCTGATCTTTGTCTTAGATTGGGCTGGTGGCACGACCGATTACAGCGCCGGACCTTACACAATGTATTTGAAGTCTCTCAAAGTGACGGATTATTCGACCGGCTCGTCATACTCATATGGTGATGAGAGCGGGGACTGGACGTCAATTACTGCCAATGGGGGTCAGGTTAATGGGAACATTGGGGCCGATACGATGACCTCAATTGAGTCAGCACCCACTGTGACGTCGACGGTTGCCAGTATTCCTATCCCTTGGAGCGGCACTCATCGTGAAACATCCAGCTTTGTGACTCCAGATGTTTGGCCTTGGGTTGCGACAGCAACATCGACATCGCTGCCTGCTGGCTGGACCTATTCTGGTTCTCGGCAAACCCAGCCGCCTAGTGCGGCTTCTGTGAGTGAGCATTTCCCTTAACACCCTTTTATACAGCCTTCAAGATCTCACGCTAAATCGGTACTCCTTTTCATAGTCTTCTTCCCAGTATATATCAGCCTCCTCGCGCTCTCGGCCGGCTTCATCCTCCCTCTCCGCCTCTAAATCCCGCTCGAGAACGCCAAGCTTGACTGTTTCCTCGACGAGTGCTGCTGGTAAGACTAGTGCCACCACTCATTCTGGTAGCTCCACTACGGCCAGGCATCTCTCTCCTTCGTCGACCAATCATGCAGCCCCAAATGTGAATGCTGCGGGAAGATCAGATAAGATTCATATTGGCATTAATGTGATGTGTGTGCTTATTAGCACACTGATCATGCTCTGAAACCCTGCGCAACGACCATTGAATCATTGATCAGGTCTATGAATTATCAGCACCGCTACTCGACGACAGTTATGCAACACGACACGACTACTACTAACACACGAAATTACGACGAAGTGTATATGAATGAATGGCCCCTTTCCTTCTTCCTTGTTTATGATAGAGATCTTCATGAGCTATGTACAGCATAGGTTCGGCGTTGGATCACGAAAGAAGCGAGTCAGACAAGCTCGCCAAATGCACCATGTGCTGTGGCTTAATTGGACTTCATTCGGCGTTGGTAGCTCTTAATTAATAATACTGGCTTTTGTTGCATCATCGATGTTTCATTGTAGACCATGTTCATCGTGATTAATCCTGATGTTGCTGTCTCTGAAGATTTGAGAGAAGAGCAGAATGAACGATAACACCAAGGCTTAACCAGAGAGAATTAAGCTACTAGTCAGTTGACCACAATTATTTCCCCCTTCACGGGAACTGGCAACTTGTCCTTATATATACTACATATAGGGGCTCCCATTCCACAGAACAATATTTACCAACTAAAAAAAGCATGGACTACCGTAACAATCAGTTCCTCCATTTCCCGCTTGATTTTTGCAATCCCCCCTACCTTTCAACTTGTCCTTACCATCACTCAAAAACACAATTCAACTCGCTTCCCGGGTTCAAGGTTATCTTGAATCTCAGCATCGGATCCTCGACCTTGTCCTTCCCAGCTGGCGGCATAGCCCTTAGCGACTCATATACCTGCAAGATTCTCACCACCGTATACCCCATCTCAATCATAGCGAACTGCTGTCCCAGACAGATTCTGGGTCCACCATTAAACGGAATGAAATGCCATGGTTTCGGCACCCAATCACCCGTCCATCTCTCCGGAACCCACTTGCCAGAATCAAAGTAGTTCTTACTTCCAGGGGGCGGGTAGTGCGCCGGATCCCTCTGCATCATCATGGTCGAGTAGATCATCCGCGTATTGGCACGAATACCTACAGGCCCGTTGCCATCGGCGCCACCGCCGCGGGGGAGGGTCGTATCTTTCAGAGCGTAGCGAACGTTGAAGGGAACAACAGGATAGAGGCGGTTCGTTTCGTTAAGCACGGCAGTGAGATATTTCATTTCCTTGAGGTCGGTGTAAGTGGGTTTGCGGCCGGATGGGCCTAGACCGAGTCGGGAGGCGATTTCAGATCGGAGGGCTGCAACTACGGAGGGGTTGCGGGCTAGCTCGAAGAAACAGAAAGCGAGAGTCGTGGCGGTTGTGTCGCGCCCAGCGAGCAAGATGGCCGTTAGTTGGTCTCGAATGACCTTGGGGTCTCTGGTGAAGCGTGCCAGGGCGTGGATAAACGTTTCTTGCTTTGAGAGTGATGTGTCAAGTTCTTCGGGGCTAAGGGATAAAGCCCGCTGGATGAAGGGTGCCATGAAGTCGTTCATTTTCTTAAGCTCTTGTCGAAACTTGGTACGGGAGAGGATGGGATTGAAGGGGCTGATTGAGCGGTTATTAGTTGATGTCTATAGAGAACGAAGATGGCAGGAAGGGAATTAGAGGAGTGTACATACCCGTAGCAAAAGATCTCGCTTTGCCGATGTTGTACGTAGCTGAAGGCTTCGGCAAAGCTGGTGGCTGGATTTTGCAGGCTGTTGGTGCCATCGCCGAAGAGATAGGCTGTGGCAGCGTCTAGGGTGTATCGAAGGAACAGGGGAGTCACGTCGACGACCTTGTTGCTCTTGGTTCCAGCCAGAAGAGGGATAAGGTGTTGAACGTGATGCTCGAAGATTTCTGTGTCCACGACGCGGTCCCTGGTGAACATGGGCCGGATAAGTTGACGCGAACGGGACCAAAGTTCGCCATCTGTGACGAAGATACTATCGCCCAAGAACTCCTTCCAGTCGTGATGAAAAGGCTCTCCTTTGCCATAGTCCGCGAACTGGCCGGTGAGTAAGGCTCTGATGTTCTCGGGGTCTTTGGTGACGATGGCTCGATTTGAAATTCCGAAATCCAGTTCAGCGGTTTGGACATGATCGATGGCTGACGCGCCATGTGCAGTTTCCATGAGGTTCTGCCAGTGAGTGAGATCCTCACCTCTACTATTTGCCATCACATAGCCGTAGACGTTATCGAGAGCTGGGGATAAAGAAGTTAGCCTATCATTATTGCGAATGGCGTGCTGGTGACGGTGGTAGTATTCGGGGACGTTAGTATAGACACACCGTATGGCAATCGGAACCGGATGCGGGGGGCCCTTAGGCCCAGTCGAGAGACTTCCAAAGACACCTGGATCTTACGGACGAGACAAGCAATCAAGAAGATCCCCACAAGGCAAGCGGATGCCTTCATGGGGCTCATCTGGCCAACAAGATATTCAAGCATGGTGCCAGGGCAAAGGCTTCGAGAGGGAAGCGGAAGAGTATTGTTATAGGCAACCTTTGCAAAGCCACGGCGCAGAAATGCATTAATAAAATATGCTCGCTGATAAGTAGACTACTAGTCATGCACTACGGCAAGTCCATGAGTCCCATAAGAATAGGATCGACTAACTAACGTTACCTGTCAGCCGAGATGCAAGGCCCCCGCTCGCTTGATTGAGTTTCTCATTTGATTGCTCCGCCTGTGAATGACCATTTAACCCCGCGCATTGCTAAACAAATTATGGTGATGACCGCCGACCCTAAGATTCTCTTGAATGGGAATGGAACGCGAAGCCAGAGAGCTGGCTGAGTAATGCAGTATTGCGCATCTGCTGGAGCTGAATAACTGGTATGGAGTGTGGATCCCGCTTGGATTGTCGAGCTCTTGGTCCATGTATTCCTGGAATGGAAACAGCATATGACCATATATGACAGCAAATTGAGAGATGACACCACATGTCAGAAGCATTGAGGTGAAGTGAATGCAGCTAAATGTCCAGCATCTTTCCCATCGAGCATTTCGCCGCAAAACCCGCCAGTTGGCCGCTACGCCACAAGTTGTACCTAGCACGTGACTAATGTGGCGCGCGACTTTCATCATCGGCGAAGCAAAGTTCCTGCGACGGATACCAAGATCTCTCCCCAAAACATCCCTCCCCTCCCCTCGGCCTTTCCCTTTATCCTGTGCAGCCTCCGATTCAGGACAATCTTTGGCTTCGCGAAATTTACTATATAAACCAGTGAATCGTCTCAATAGCGCTCTCTGGGTTCAGTGGCGCGGCGTTCTACGATCCCCCGTGCCGTCCCTCCTACATTTCCTCGCCTACGTCTGTGTCACTCATAGGTCGCTTTTCAGCACTCGTGCGCTTGCATCATGACTACAATGGTCACTGCAGGAACCCCCCTCGCTGAGGCGCTGGGTCATGTCATTCCGCCGAAGCTGGTCGAGATGGGTTGGAGCTCCGATGGCGGCGACGACTCAGCCTTGACCGATTATGTGATCTTGATGCTGGCGAATGGCAAGACTCAGGAACAGATCGCTGGCGAACTTTCAAATGATCTTCTCGGCGGTCTCGGTGAAGGCGACACACAGGCCCTCGATTTCTCGAGATGGCTTTTCGAACAAGTCGAAATCCTCAACCAGCAGATCAATGGCGGGGGTGCCCCAGCACCCACCGAGCCTTCATCCGCACAAGCGATTCCGTCGTTTGGTGGTCAAGAATCTGCTCCTACACAAATGTCCGGCTTTGATGGCAGCGCGCAGGATGCCGATATGAGCATGGGTGATGCAGCCCAGGGCGACTCGATGTGGGTTTTCGCTCCTTTCCACATATCCAAATTGGCGATAAAACTAATCTCTCATTCTTTTTAGACCGACGGGACCGAAGGCTATGCGCAATGGTCGTGGTGGTGGACGTGGTAGAATGCTCAATCAAATAAATCGCTCGATGGATCGTGGGGACTCGGCTCTACATCGAGTCCGCGGTCAAGCTGGCGGTGGACGGGTCAACTCCCACGGGCGCGAGCACGGAAAGGGCCGTTTCAATCAGAATGGAGGCGGCAGAATGCCCGGTGGCCGTCAGATGGGTGGAATGAATATGGGCGGCATGATGAACATGACTCAGTCGGATCAGATGCACCTCATGTCTCTGCTCGAGGAGCAAGCTCGTATGATGGCGCAGATTATGCCTGGTTTTGTCCCTCCGGCAATCAACCCGGCCTTCCAGCAAAATGGCTCTCAACAGGGCCGCTCCTTGTTTGATCGAGTCGAACGCCAGCATGGCCATCGGCACCGCGGCCAGCGTCACAACAACAATCACGAACAGTCTGGAGACGTTGACATGGATACGAAACCTGACCAGGCTGGTCAGGAAGGAGGTCAGGATGAAAGCAATACCAACAATGTCTGTCGATTCAACCTCCGGTGCACCAGGAAGGACTGCCCGTTTGCACACCAGTCGCCCGCCGCCCCTGAAGGTTCCCCGGTCGATGTTTCAGATATTTGCACCTACGGGGCTGCTTGTAAGAACCGCAAGTGTACTGGTCGCCATCCCTCGCCTGCCGTCAAGTCGGCACATCAGGCGGAGGAGCTCTGCAGATTCTTCCCCAACTGCGCCAACCCTCATTGTCACTTCAAGCACCCCAGCATGCCTCTCTGCCGGAATGGAGCCGATTGCTCCCAGGAAGGCTGCAAGTTCACTCATATTCAAACTCCCTGCAAGTTCACACCTTGTCTCAACCCGAGCTGCCCTTACAAGCATGCCGAGGGCCAAAAGGGTGCCTTCTCCGACAAGGTGTGGACGCCTGGATCGAAAGAGCATGTGAGTGAACGGAAGTTTGTTGCAGAGGAGGAGGGGACAGAAGAGTTGATCAAGCCTGATACGACTGGGGAAGGTTCTCAGAGTCAGGAGATCGCGACATAGACTCATGCGTTGGATCGACTTGACCACGTTTCTTTTGATGATTTCCACATTGTCCAATTCCCCATATGATGCCGGAGAGATCTCATGTATTATTTTGTGTGCGCGCGGGTGCTTACTTGGGAGGGCGTTCAATTTCGATATACTTTATGTTATGGTCATGGCAATGGCAGTAAAGAATACTTACGGTGGCTTTGTAAATAGAATCTGGATATCATGAGATTGCTTATGCTGTGCATGACCTAGTCAGTCGGTACTTCCTAGCCTTGTAGTAGTGGTCTTGTCGTTGGGGACCTTCGTAGTAACCGAGTAACTGGAGAGCATATGCCGGTCATCAATCAACTCTTACTGCGGTCGGCCATCGGAGCTTCTACTAGCGGCCCATCCGCTCCGCAGCTCTTCCGCTTCCTCCACCCTGTTGAGCACCCTGGGCACTTGGCTGCTGATCCCAGTGTCTCTCAATATCGCTAACATGCGGTTACCATGTGCTTCTAGCCGTGTGTTCCGGCAAGTGCGAGCGCCATTGGCTCTCCTCCGCAGGGGCCAGAGGCACGCTCTGCATACCAAACAGTTTGACGCTGCAGTCATAGGCGGTGGCATCACCGGTCTCACAGCAGCCTACCAACTATCGCGCGACCCGTCGTGCTCCAAAGTCACGCTCTATGAGAAGTCCTCCCACTTGGGAGGCTGGCTCTCATCCGAGCAGATCCCCGTCCGCGGGGGACATGTCGTCTTTGAATATGGTCCGCGGACCCTGAGGACGAGTGCTCCCTCGTGCCTTCCCATGATGGATTTGGTGAGCCAGGACTCCCATAGCTTTGATTGAAGCACGCCGGGGAATCGCCTATGGCTAACAAAACTGGCTCGACGCTGCAGATAATGAATTTGGACTTACTGGATGATGTTCTGATCTGCGACAAGAAATCGCCCGCGGCCCAAAACCGTTACATCTACTACCCCGATCATCTCGTGCGCCTGCCTTTTCCGCCCACGGAGGGATTGCTTAAGACAGCCTGGACACTCTTGATGGAGCCCTTGTTCGAGACCTTTCTACAGAGCGCTTTATTCGAGAAGCCAAAAAGAGCTGTAGATGGCGATGCCCTCTCCCGTGACGAATCGGTCGCGGATTTTGTTTCGCGTCGGTTTTCTCCAAAGATGTCGGAGAACCTTGCTTCTGCGGTCATGGCTGGCATTTTCGCGGGAGATGTAAACCGTCTGAGTGCAGATATGGCCATTGGCTATGTACGAGAACTTGAAAAGAGATATGGGTCTATAGTGGACGGCATGATGACCCAGAGGGCGTCAGAAATGCGTGCTATGCCAATGGATGAGTTCCTGGCATTGGAATCGGTCGCGGTCCCATCCCACAAGGATGATCGATACTGGAAGAGTCTGCGGGCGGTGGTCTCAGATGCCAGCGTTCTTACGTTGAAGAACGGCTTGGGACAATTAACAGATGCTATGGCTGCCCAGCTCAGGAGTTCCAATAACGTGGAAGTTGTGTCGGGAACAGAAGTAACATCTCTTAGCCAGAATCCGGAAACTCGGGACTTGACTGTGAGTGAAAGCTTAGATCTATCAACTTTTACCAAACCCGATGGATTGGAAGGCTGACATGAGTATAGATCGGGTTCGGGAAAAATGAGTCGAAGACTCATAACCGTGTAATCGCCACCCACGCGCCCTCGAGTCTCGCCCGACAGTTAGAAAACACAAAGGTGGGTGTCGCACCTTCTGATACACTCCGCGCCCTGGGACAGAACAACTACGCAGTAACTGTCATGGTGGTCAATCTATATTACGAGGATCCAGACCTGGTTCCAGTTCAAGGGTTCGGATACCTGCTACCTAGCTCGATTCCGTTTGAAGAGAACCCCGAGCGGGCCTTGGGAGTTATCTTTGGGTCCCAATCTAGCGAAGGACAGGACACTGCACCCGGCACAAAGCTCACCGTGATGATGGGTGGCCATTTGTGGGACGGCTGGAGCGAGTCCGACTATCCCGACCCTGATAAAGCAGTTGAGATGGCCCAGGCCTTGCTTCATAGGCACTTGGGAATCAAGACGGCTCCGTCTGTGGCACGCGCCCGGTTGCTCCGCGATGCTATACCCCAGTACACGGTTGGCCACCTGTCCCGCATGAAAGAGCTCTCGCAATCTGTTCGGGATGATTTTCATAAGCGACTCACCTTAGCTGGTGCATGGTACGGCACTGTGGGAATTGGCGTAGTAGACTGCATCAGACAAGGTTACATAGCCTCGTCATTTGGTGTTGGCTCCAAGAAACTTGGCCCTGGAGGTGGCCGTCGACCTTGGACCAAGCATGACTTCCATAACTGGGAGCTGGAAGGTGGCATATGTACTTCCCCAGTTCGGTTCGATAATGTTCACATTACGGAGCGTCAGCATTACTAGGACAGAGCTACACGGGCTTTTGATGTTTATAAATAGTATGTAAGATACCAAATGTGTGATTGTCTGCAATATGGGGAGAAAGGAGTTATGGTCTCGCTAATACTAGCGAAACCACATATGTCAATTTGGTACCGCGAGAAGCTAGTTAGAAAACAGCAAAGATGTAACGATGTTACGGTGTATATGGCTTTCATCCGAATTTTGCCATCCTCGGTAGACTGCCACGGATGGCTTATGTCGGGAGAAGTGCTGCCACGGATGGGGCGAGATATCCGCGAGGCTCAGGACATGTAGCGAATATCTTGATATGCTTTGGCTCTAGTGCTGTGAAAGCCAAGCTGCTTCCAAAAGTCTGGTTTGATACTCCTGCATCGACTGTCGTATGGATTGATATGCTTCAGCATTCTAGTCACCATAGACCCGGGATAAATGCCGTTAAGAGATGCTAGTGACCGGGATGGCTGTTATGGAGCATCTTCAGAAAGTCGCACAGTAGGACCTTAACAATAAGAAGTACGGTTACTTTGCAAATCGGTAGTTCCCTCTACTCCTTTTCTTCAGCGGCATCCTTCTTTTCACCGTTTGAATCAAATCCAAGGGAGTCCAACTGACGAATCAACTCCTGGATCTTGATCACCTTCTCCAGCTGTTCGGGTAGGAGTGCCTCTCCCTGGGCTTTCTTGTCACGCAGGTCGCGAGCCTGTCTCAGCTTCTTCTTGAGATTGCGGGCCTTCTTTTCCTTCTCTGCTTCAGGATCGACTGCCTCCTCGGTTTGCGCTGCGTCCTTTGCGTCCCCGTTCGACTGCTTCTTAGCCTCTTGGGGCGCACCAGCACGCCAGTTCTCGATGCGAGTCACATCCTTGCCGTTGGTAGCACCATCCTGTGTCGCCTTGGCCTTCTTTCTAGCTTCGCGACGCTTCGCATTCTTGTTGTTGGTTGCACCACCTGCCTTGTTGGCCGAGGTATCCTCGTCGTCCTTCAGTCCATCGGCACCGGGAACCCCGCCTTTTCCGCGATTCTTCCAGGCCTCTGCCGCACGGGTCTTGTACAGTTCCACATCCTCAGGAGGGCGGTATCCCGGTCGGACACGAATCTCTCGACGCTTGGAGCCGTCGGCACGGAGAGACGAGGGAATGTAGCGTTCTCCGGTGGTTTCGTTCGTTGTGATCCCGGAGGAACTGACCGCACCCGGCTTGTTGGAGGCCATGTTTTTATTTTCTTTAGGTGGGGTGGTGAGAGTCCGCCGGATGGAAAAACGTCAGTGTGGTCTGAGGGGGCAGACGAGTAGTTCGGCGATGAGAAATCTCCCCCTGAATTAGTGGGAGAGTGAATGCGCTGAGATTAGATCCCGGTGTAAGTTGTCACAGTTATTCACACATCAAACCCGACAGCGCATTAAAATTGTGGACGAGTCGATGTAAGGTTGATGAATCCCCAGGCGGCCAGTCGGAGGCTCTGCGCAGGTGGTGTTCCGACTGGCCAATCAGCGACCCGGTGATTCCCGCTGTTGCTTTTCGCGGCCGCCAAACCGAACTCGATCCTGACTGGAATCTTTAACCTCATCTCGCCCATCCTCTCTGCCTCGCTGTTTCCCCCGCTCCCTTCCCTTTTATATCCCTATCGATAACCGTCACAATGGCCGGCGCCGTAAGTGTTCTATTCGTATGGGTTTTGTGACAATTCAATGGCTAACTGCAGGGTGTTTCCGTTCCAGATCGCTTCCGCTATCTACCAGCATGTCTCCCCTTTCACTCCGGATATTTAATCGATAATCGTCGCCCGTCATGGAATGGTCTTGCTAATTGGGAATCTTTGATTGACTTACAGGGGCCTGATCCGCCGTAACGCGGTCTACCTGACCACCATCTTCGCCAGTGCCTTCGCCTTCGAGCTGTACGTTTCTGTCATCGGGATCTTTCGGGGGGAGACAATCGCTAAATAATCATCTTGGAATAGGGCCTTCGACACTGCTTCCAACAAGGTCTGGGATTCTTTCAACCGCGGCGTACGTTTCTTATCTCCCACGACCTTCCCGCATGGGCTAATACTAACGGGCTCGTCTCACTACTGCAGCGCCAATGGAAGGACATCAAGCACCAGTACCTCAACAAGGCCGACGAGGAGGACGATGAGTAAATACGGGTACAATTCTCGCCCTGTCACATACGAAAGAATAGAAGCGGTGCTGAGGGGTCAAAATATCCATTCCCATGTCATACTATAGCCGAGTGCCGGGAACGAGGAGTGCTATAATCCAGGGTGTTTGTACGAGATAGATTCGCAATAACCTGTAACTTTTTCCTTTTCCAGAGCAGTCCATAGGAAGACTCGTGTTCACATGTAGGCCATTATATCTCGTAGGGTAGTAATCACCCAACACACGAATGTTGCCCAGCAGGGCGGGGAAAAGCCAATCGAGCATTCTCAGGCCGTGGATGAGAATCGCGGTGGCGCCAAGCCCCGGTGTTTGCAGTGCTCGATGTCATGGGCGAACCAACTATTGGAAACCTCCTCTTTCTTCCACATATTGTCTAATACAGTGTCATAACTTTTGTCTTTCGGATCGATATCTCCATCAGGGGTCCCATCTGAATGAGGAATAGGATATTTCCGCCCATGATATCAACGGGCTACTGGTGCGTGCCGCCGCTGGATACCATAAAACCCGACTGCCCACTACTTCCCCCCCACGGTGACATCGCCGTCGCTGCTATCGCTCGATAACTAAGCCTCTTAACTGATCTAGATTTTTTACCCCCTCAACCTTACTTGAGCTTCTCCACCACCCCAGCAATCCCGACCGGTTTCAACGCCCTTTACCTCCGTGGCTTATTGCAACATACTTGCCGCCACTTACACGCTCGATCACAGGCCGAGCGATCGCAGACTGGGAGATCCCAAGCCCGCCCCACGGAGCTTCCACTCCATCCGACCCTCACCATCCCCTCACTGTCCGGACAGCCCGATGAGTGTCGCGATCAAAGCGCAAAGGCGGTAAAATGGGCTTCACGGATAAGGAGATGATACTCGGGCAAGGCCTTCTACGGCTCCCCGCTGCACACAACTATCGATATGGATACAATGCAGAGCAAGACCTACTTGAGCTGCTCTTCCACTCTTTAACCGGCTTCAACGAGGAGTACCTCCGACTACTCTTCCCTAAGGGGCCCCCGAAAGGTGTTTGGAAACTAGCGGAAGCTCAGGGAGCGAAAGAAGGAGCAGAATATACCGAAGCGGCGCGGGGAAAGCGATGTGGTCACATTTTCAGGGCCGGCGAGGCTACCTATCGGTGTATCACCTGTGCTGCGGACGATACCTGCGTGCTCTGTAGTCGCTGCTTTGATGCTTCTGATCACACTGGTCACCAGTACCAGATTTCTTTGTCTTCGGGAAACTGTGGCTGCTGTGACTGCGGAGATGAGGAGGCATGGCGACTACCGCTGTTCTGTGCGATCCATACCGACAGTGAGGACAAGAAGGGCAAGCAACGGGCTCAGACTCAGCTCCCGCATGATTTGGTCGATAGCATTAGAACTACTATCAGCGGCGTACTGGATTATTTCTGCGATGTCATTTCTTGTTCTCCTGAGCAGTTGCGGCTCCCGAAGACAGAGGAGGGGATCAGGCAGGATGAAGAAGCATCCCGGCTACGTCCCGGCTGGTATGGTGATGGAGATCTACCGGAGGATGAGCCGGAGTTTGCTCTTGCTCTTTGGAACGATGAGAAACATACTATCCGGGATGTTGCTCATCAGGTCAGCCGGGCTTGTCGGGAACGCGATCGTTTTGGCAACGATAGGGCCCATGAGACGAATGATATTGGGAGGAGTGTAGTCAAATACTCCAAGGATCTGCAGAGGCTGCTAGCTGTGTCGAAAATCATCGAGCAGATTAAGGTCACAGTTACAATCCGGTCTGCCCGCGACACGTTCCGCGAGCAAATGTGCGGGACCATTGTCGAATGGCTTGCAGATATCTCTGGGTGCAGTATCATGGATGACAACGAGATTCTGCGCCACACCATCTGTGAGGCATTGCTTAGTCCATGGCAACAACGCAGCAATGCCGCTAATGCCGATATCGGAATGAAGGGCATTGATGACCATCAGAGGACTGAAAATGCTCCGTACCGCACGGTTATGCTCACGGTGTCCCCGCAGGGGCAGGTGGTTTTGGCTGCAGACGATGACGACGACGATGACGATGAGGATATCGATAATGATAATGAACAAGGTGGCGATGGGGATGGAGACGAAGATTTTGTTGAGACCCATGATGATGCTGACGACGAGGATGAGGATATGGATCTGCAGATTGCTAGAATTCGTGCAGAAGCTGAAATGGAGGATGAGGAGGATATGGTGATGGGCAACACTGATGACGCTCTTGAAATGGCCCAAACCATTATTCAACTGGCACAGCGGTCTGCGTCCCCCAACACCGAGCAACGACAGGAACAACAAGAGCAGCCAGCTTTGGAGAACCAAGATCTGCCGCAATCCCCAGAGCGCGAGCCTGACTCGAACGAGCCATGCCAACTGCCTCCCATGTCTTATGTTGCTATCCCTAAGACCCCATCCGGCGTGGTAAAACCATCGCCTGCAAAGACCCCTAGTCATTGGCAAGTTCGACCTTCCGTCCCGGCCTTCGGGGAGCATGTTCCCCCTTACGAGGATCTCTGGCAGCGTACACGCCTGGACTGGATGATTTTGTTCGATCTCCGATTGTGGAAGAAGACCCGTACCGACCTGCGCGATCTCTACATTGGTACCGTCGTCAATGTTCCCCAGTTCAAGCGAATCATGGGCCTACGCCTGTCAGCTCTATATACGGCGCTCGCGCAGTTGTACCTGATTGCAGACCGAGAACCAGATCATTCAATAGTCAATCTTTCCCTCCAGCTTCTCACGACGCCCTCTATCACCGAGGAAATCGTGCTACGCGGAAACTTCCTCACCAAGGTCATGGCCATTCTATATACATTCCTGACTACGCGTCAAGTTGGTGAACCTTACGAAGTGAACCCCAACGCTACCCTGGCTTTCGATGCCGGCTCCGTGACCAACAGACGTCTGTACCATTTCTTCCTCGATCTGCGATACCTCTTGCAGTCAGAATATGTACAGAACCGCGTACGGAGTGAAGAACCTTACCTCGCTCAATTCTTGGACCTCGTCAAGCTTTCCCAGGGTATCTGTCCCAATGTGCGTGCTGTGGGGGAGCATGTTGAGTACGAGACCGACGCATGGATTAGTGCCTCGATCCTCATGCGGGAGATCAATCGGCTCTGTCGCCAGTTCTGCGAGGCCTTCCGCAACCCCGAGGTTGATGGTGGCGTGAAGCTATTGCGAGCAATCCGGACGGCAACCATCTCTGCAATGGTTCATTCTACAGGAGTTGAGCGCCAGAGATTTGACCAGGCGGAGATTAAAAATTATGTGCGGTTCAAGACTTTACCTCCCCTTGACTTCGAAGTCGATCAGCAACGAGTTCCCCGTTACCGGGTTGTGGACTTTGTTGTTGAAAGTGGTTCGATGAGTTTCCACCATGCCCTGCACTACACGCTGTCATGGCTGCTGGAGTGTGGCCGCAATGTGAACAGTGCTCTGATGCGGGATGTGCTCATGAGTGCTGCTCATGCTGCAAACGAGAAATACATCCACGATAGTCAGCTAACTTCTGAAGACCTGCTCCTCTGCATGTTCGATTATCCTCTCCGGGTCTGCGCCTGGCTCGCGCAGATGAAAGCGGGAATGTGGGTGCGTAATGGTCTCAGTCTTCGGCATCAAATGTCTCAATACCGTGGTGTATCGTCTCGCGACTTTGCCTACTATCGCGATATCTTCCTCCTGCAAACCGCGCTGGTGACCTGTGACCCGAGCCGGGTGCTTGCGTCTATCGCAGATCGGTTTGGCATGATGGACTGGATGACCAGAGACTACACGCCACGCCCAGGATACGAAGACAACCAGATAATCGATGTGGCCGAGGAGTTCGTCCATCTGCTGGTCATATTGCTCACAGACCGGACCTCCCTCACCGCCGTTGACAACAGCGAAGCCGCAACGCGCGAAAACATGAGCCGCGATATCGCTCATGTTCTGTGCTTCAAGCCGCTTTCTTTCTCAGACTTGTCAACACGCCTCAGTGACAAGCTGCTTGACTCAGATCTGTTCCAGGATGTTTTGGACGAGGTTGCAGGATTCCGTCCCCCTGAAGGCTTGAATGATACGGGAACCTTCGAACTCAAGCCGGAATATATCGACTTGATTGATCCTTATAGTGCTCACTACAGCAAGAACCAGCGGGACGAAGCAGAGAGCATCTACAAGGAGTGGGTGGCCAAGAAATCTGGAAAGAAGGCATCGGACATTGTCTTTGAGCCGAAGCTGCGGCCTATCACTTCTGGCGCGTACTCGGAACTTCCTAAGTTCACAAGGACGCTGGTATTTGCTCAAGTTGTTCACCATTGCTTAGACTACGTTGTCTCCTCGAAAGAGCGTACCCCGAACATCCCGCCTACTCGTGTGGAGACCTTCCTCCAGGTCGTTCTTCACCTTATCCTTGCGGCGTCGCTTGAAGATAGTAGCGAGGAGGATGAGATGCTAAGAGGCTCCTCACCGTCATTTGTGTCGCACGCACTGAATAAGGCCAAGGAAACTACTCTGGCTGGGTCATTGACTATTGTTGGTCTTCTGGAGAAGATCTCCGTCATGAGTGAATTCTCCGCCTGCGGGCCTAAGATCCGTCACATTCTGAAGAGACTCTGGCAGAAGCGCCCTCAGGCCTACGCCTCGGCAACTGCTGCTCTTAAATTCCCGTTCGATCGAGTCGACACAAGCTCCCCTGCAATTGACACAGACAATGAGAAGGAAATGAAGAAGAAGCAGGCTCTTGAAAGACAAGCCAGGGTTATGGCTCAATTCCAGCAACAGCAGCAGAACTTCCTCAACAGTCAAGGCGCAATTGACTGGGGAGAGGAGGACTTTAGTGACCTTGAATCTGAAGCCGAGACTGCTCCCGAGACTAAACTATGGAAGTATCCCAGTGGTACTTGCATTCTCTGCCAGGAGGAAACAAATGACTCGAGACTCTACGGCACCTTCGCCTTGATTCAGGACAGCAGCATCACGCGACTGACAAACATTAACGACCCTGACTGGATCAGAGAAGTGATTAGGACACCGACGAGCTTGGATAAGTCTGCGGAGCACATTCGTCCCTTTGGAGTTGCAGGGGAGAACCGCACGACGGTCCGCCGACTGGACTCTACCGGTGGTGAAGTGATTAGCGAGAAGATTGGACTGAGTAAAGGATTCAAGGCCACGCACACCCTTCGTGGACCCGTTACCACCGGTTGTGGGCACATCATGCATTACTCCTGTTTTGATGCCTACTTCCTCGCTACTCAGCGCCGCCACTCGCAACAGATCGCAAGGAATCACCCTGAGCGTCTGATGAGCAAGGAATTTGTCTGTCCGCTGTGCAAAGCTCTAGGAAATGCCTTCCTCCCCATCATCTGGAAGGGCAAGGAAGAATCCTATCCGGGCGCACTGAACACTTCCGCACCGTTTGATGAGTTCATCAACACGGAGTTGAAGTCGGTCCTCTCGCAACCACACAATTACGCAGTGCTTGCGGAGAACAGCAACATGCAGCTACAGCCTTACCAGGAACTATTCACCACTTACCTGTCAAAGACCTTGGTTCCTCCACTTGCAACCAAGGTTGATCAGCTCATATCGTCGCAGTCGTCGACGTCGTCGTCTCTGCCCTCAACGGCTCACTATATGCCACCAGCGAGGATGCCGATGCCTGGCCTCTTCCCATCACAGGACGAGAGCTCGACCACGAGTCCGCTGCAAGAAACTTCCGCGCAAAGCGGAAGCCCCATGTCTGTGCTCATGCAAATCTACAAGCGACTGAAGCAGACTATTCGGATGAATCACATCCCGTCCACCTTCAATCACCACCCTGATACCACCGATTCCCATGACCTGGTGCACACTGATTCCTTGTTCCAGAGTTTCGGATTCAGCATTGCTGCTACTGAAATCTCTCAGCGCGGTGTTGAATCTGAGCCGGGGACGACTTTGCTGGATAAGATCCCTCAACTGACTTTGACGCACCTCCGGGTCTTGGCTGAAAGTGCCCTATCGTACGCTGCCGTCGGGTGCGTATACAATGCTAATGGCTCTCATACCCACAGTGGCGATGAGTTCCAAGAGCTGCATCGCCAGAAGATATGTCAGCTCTTCATTGGCCATCCCTGCTTGAGTGGCAGCGCACTGGTAAACGATATGCGTGAGATCGAACCACTACTGGCTAAGGATACTTTCGTATTCCTGGCCGAATGCTCTCTATCCCTGCTGCCAGTGCTGCCTGTCGACATTCGCCACTTGATCCACGTGTGCTACGTGGCAGAAATTGTCAAGGTTGCGGTTACCTACATTCTTTGCCCGAAGGGCCTGAAGGAGGAGCTGGCGCAGCATCGTGATGACCAGTATCTGTCCGACCTGGATCAGACGGATCCGCGATACGAAGCGAGCCGCCACTTCTTCTACTCGATCGTCACCGAGTTGAAATCTAACTCGGTAGGCCACGCGGTGGGATCATCGTTCCCTGCTGAAACTGGCTACGTCAAGGACGGCGTGGATAGTGCAACTCCGGATGTTGTGATCTCGCTGAGGCGTCTCATCTCCAGCTACGCATTGACTTTCCTGCGCAAGGCGGTCATCCTGCTCCATGTCCAGCACGGCGTTGAGTTCCCGAACACGGGTCTTCACGACGCGAATGCGTCCGAGCTAGACCGTCTGACCAATATCCTTCACCTGCCGTCCGTTGACGAAATTTTTGCATCGATCAACCCGGCTCGGGAGAGTGGTAAGGCGTTCGATGCTGTGATCTCCGGCTGGATCTTTCACTGGAATGCAACTCGGTCGGGCGTCCGGATGGGCGACCTCAAGCTGTGGCCCAGCCTTCCTCACCCAGCCATTTTCGAGCTGGTTGGACTCCCCAAGTACTACGACAGTTTGATCGAAGAGGCCAACCGTCGGCGGTGCCCCAAGTCGAAGAAGGAGCTTAGCGATCCCAGCATCTGTCTCTTCTGTGGAGATATTTTCTGCTCGCAGGCAGTATGCTGCATGGAGAACAAGCTGGGCGGATGCAACCAGCACGTTCAAAAGTAGGTCCATTCCCACCTCTTTGGGGAGTATCTGGAGAACTCTTCTAACAACGAATAGATGTGGCAAGAATATCGGTTTGTTCATCAACATCCGCAAGTGCACTGTGCTCTACTTGCACAACCACAATGGATCATGGCACTACGCACCGTACCTTGACCGACATGGCGAGGTCGACCCGGGTCTCCGGCGCAACCGCCAGCTGATCCTCAACCAGAAGCGCTACGACCGACTTCTTCGGGATGTGTGGTTGTCGCACAGCATCCCGGCCACCATCAGTCGGAAGCTGGAGGCGGACATCAACAACGGCGGGTGGGAGACGATCTAGACATTGGTCCCTGGGAGTTATTGTGTTCCGTGTTTCAGCATTGTTGTGTATCCTGATTTGGCTTGATGACCCGTGCCAAAAGCTCATGATGACTTTGCATGCATTTTATCGAACTGTTTGTTCTTGAAAATAATTTACATATATGTATCTACGATGCAGAGGGCCCTTGTTCTTGTTGATGGCGGTTGATACTATATAGTACTCTATGCGTTGTGCTTGGCGAGATTCACTGATGCTGTCGGTAATGGTTGTTTGACAGTGTGAATCTTGATCTGAATCGTGATTTATCCTATCCTGCACACTGAACTAGGTATTGATCTACATGTAGACCTCGATTCGAAACCAGATCAGCCGTGTGACTCACATGGAGCGGGTGTCTCGCAAGGATAACTTTAGCCCTGGTACTAGCCCCCATACGCACTGTCATTAGTGAGGTGCTGAGACAATTTAAGCTTTCGCTTCAGCCATAGCTTATAAACAGTAAGATTATGAGAGGGGGAAAAGCTTCAACCAAGACTATTTTCACCCGTCTTTAGGTTGTTCATAATGGGCTACGGCTTCATGGCTCTCATGCCTCCATCGTATAATCGTCCCTTGTAGACAGTAGCCAGCTACTTACTAGTTAGCACAGTGGACACAAGCCAGCGAATCGGGGTGAAGCCAATTAGCATTGGATATCCACGAAGTATGATCGTCACCCTCCATGACTTCACACGGTTGCTGCATCGGTTCACCGGGTTGAACCTAGCCGGGCAGGATCGGAGCAAGTCGCTGGATCCCTCACGGATCACAGAGCTCCAGCTCCACGAAGAAAAGCAGGATGCGATCCCCGCACATCGGAGAATTGCATACCGTTGAAGCAATCCAAGCAATTGGCAGGTGTCATCTCCATTACGTACCGTGACCTTCATACCCTCCGTATTTATACCTGCCCCTCCCTCCCCCGCTTCTCCTGCTTTCTTCCTCTCTCTTTCTCTCTTCCATCAACTCAACTTCCATCTACTTCACTACTTCCTGTCAAGTCTTCCATCGACTTTCATCACAAGTCATCCTCTCCCATGTTTGTATTCCCTGTATAGACCGTACTGACCTCTTCCCTAGAAACCCTCGTGCAATGTAATTCCACCTGCGTCGGCCCCTCCCCGGGGTCTCGTCTCAATACTTCATTACACACGATGGAAGTCATGCAATGCCTTTGGCTGGACTCTCTCAATGATCAGGTATCTCAGGTAAATCTTGGGCGTGGACCGGTGTTCGTTCCTATCCGTTGGTTGTGCAGCATTGCTAGCATTGCTGCCTGCCATCGGCTCTGGGTTCGTTCTGAGATTATACGGTTAAACTTGATCTGGATAATACCAGCGAAAGGATCATGCCTTCCCTCGTTTCCCCCCACTTGATGGAATGGCTAACAATTCCCAGTCCCACCTACCACACCCTTAAAGCAACATGTCTCCTCCCGCTGCTATCTTCGAGCCCACCGTGGTCCCCACTGGCATCAAGTCCAACGTGGTGGTCCCGGAGGCCGCTCCCGTCACTGGCTCGTCCCAGACCCAGCTGCTTGACCACTTCGCTGGCAAGTGGGACAACTTCAAGTTCGCTCCCATCCGTGAGAGTCAGGTTTCGCGTGCTATGACCAGACGCTACTTCCAGGATCTGGACAAGTACGCTGAGAGTGACATTGTCATTGTGGGTGCTGGTTCCTGCGGTTTGAGCACCGCGTATGTTCTGGCCAAGGCTCGCCCGGACCTGAAGATTGCCATTATCGAGGCCAATGTTTCCCCTGGTTCGTCCTCCATATAATTCTCCACATAGTTCGCCAGATGGGTCAACATACTAACTCTCCATAGGTGGTGGTGCCTGGCTTGGTGGCCAGCTCTTCTCCGCCATGGTCATGCGTCGTCCCGCCGAGGTCTTCCTGAACGAGCTGGGCGTTCCCTACGAGGAAGACCTAGCGAACCCCAACTACGTTGTGGTCAAGCACGCCTCGCTGTTCACCTCGACCCTGTTGTCCAAGGTTCTCTCCTTCCCCAACGTCAAGCTCTTCAACGCCACCAGCGTGGAGGACCTGATCACTCGCCCTGCTGCCAGCGGCGACCCCAAGGAAGTCCGCATTGCCGGTGTGGTCACGAACTGGACCCTGGTCACACTCCACCACGACGACCACTCCTGCATGGACCCTAACACCATCAACGCTCCCGTGATCATCAGTACCACCGGCCACGACGGTCCTTTCGGTGCCTTCTCGGCCAAGAGACTCGTCTCCATGAACAGCGTCGACAAGCTGGGCGGTATGCGCGGCTTGGACATGAACTCGGCCGAGGACGCCATCGTCAAGAACACCCGTGAGGTCACCAAGGGTTTGATCATCGGTGGTATGGAGCTGTCGGAGATCGATGGCTTCAACCGCATGGGTCCTACTTTCGGTGCTATGGTCCTGAGCGGTGTCAAGGCTGCCGAGGAGGCGCTGCAGATCTTTGACGAGCGTAAGCGCGAGTGCGCTGAGTAAATGTCTTCAGTCAACTCAATTGAGTGTGAGAAATCACATGGAGTTTGATTTCACTCGTTATGCGATGTGTTATGTGGAAGATTCCGCACGCGGTGACTAAATTGCAACACACGAGGACGATGACGTCGCTGGCTAGTTAACGACACTCTTTATGATCACAATATGACTATTCACTATCTCATATTTCAAGAAATCTGTAGTAGTATAGACCTGCGTAGATAGTCACTGGTGTGGATACTTAAGCCATCGTCCTGGTATGAAGGATGCATATGCATAAAATGCAAATGCACAAATCAAACAAACCACAGTGGACCACTAAGCGCACGCTACATGACCTACTATACTGCCAGGAAAGCATGTACACCATCTCATTCCCTCCTCAAATTTACATACTATACGTATACACAGAACAAAAGTACATATACCCAAAATTCCCAGAGAGCACCTACTCCACCTTCTCCCCCTTGCCCCCGACCGCCTCAGCAATCATCTTCGCATTCCTCACCTCCCACTCAAACTCCTTCAACGCGCGCAACTCACTCGACATAAACAACCCCCCAATCAACCCATCCAGAATCCCGGCTCCGAAGCTCAACGTGCTCACAAGGACCAAAATGAACGCTACATAAGGTAGATGGTCGCCTGTCCACCACACTCCGATGAAGCAGCCGATGGATATAATCACTGAGGCTAGGAAATGCGCTACGCGCCAGCGTCGCTGAGACCGTTCGCGGCGCACGTAGGTGTGGATCATGTCGATGATGCGGTCGTAGGTATCAGGCGTGAGAGCAGTGTTGGGGACTGGGGATTGGTGGCTAATTGTGGTGTCGTTGTCGACTTTCTCTGACGGGACACGAGTGATTACAGCCTCGACGGCGAAGTGGTCGCTCAGGGAGCAGCGGAGAGTAGGGTGGCGCTCTGTCATTGAGAGTCGGGTGGATTCGACGGACCAGCGCGGTGCCGGGTATAATGGGGGGTAGTTGCCGTCTCCGACGAAGATGTAATCGAGGCGTTTGCCTTTGGGGCATGGGGCATCTTTATCAACCACGATGTCTTGGCCTTTCTCGAGGCGCTTCTGGTCCTCCTTGGACCAACGCCAGGTATTGAATTTCCCATCGCAGGTGGCGCCGTTCTCGGTAATATTGTACTCCGCTGAAGGTATGGGCTTACCCCGTTTCTGCTCGACGGGGTCAATGGCCGCCCCGACCGACGAATCGGGATGCAGGACCTGCCATGCATCCCGGACGGGGCTGTGAGCCTGGATCAATTGATGGGCGAATGACGATGGCAGCATGTTGAAGTCGCCCAGACCGATAACCAAATGTCCGCGCTCCGCGGCCCCGCGCATTAGTTTCGCGATCTCCCACGCCTGCGCCGTTCGATGACAGATGTATGAATCGTTGGGTTCTCGCTCGTAGGGGGCGTGAAGATGCGTGCAGAACACCTCCGCGACGTCTTGGACTCCAGGTCCGAAACGGACGCGCGCACATGCCACGCCCTTCCCGACGTACCAGTCGCCGCGGAAGAAGGCCGTGGGACGCCCATTGAGCGGGTATGCGAACATGCTACTTTCTTCGATGGGCCATTTGGAGAGAATGGCCAGACCGGCGCCCCAGATACCGCCGAAGTAGAACTTGCCGTAGGGGAGGATGTGACGGGTTTGCTGACGGATGGATTCGTAGTCTTGTTGTGTCCAGCATTCTTGAAGACCGACGATTTCGGGCGGTGGGGAGGCTATGGCGAGCTGGCGACCAATTTCGGCAAGACGTGCGTGTCGGTGTTTGGCGATGTATTTGAGACCCCAGCAGTTTAAGGTGAAGATGCGGATGTGAGTGGGGGTTGAGGGGGAGGAGGAGGGGGGATCGGAGGTGGTGGACATTGTGGGATGATTGATTGATTGATTGGTTGGTTGATTGATTGAATTAGGAGAGCATATCGGAGGGTAAAATAAAGATAGAAGGGAAGAATAGAGAAGTGATTGATAGAACAAAACAAGATGATTATAGGATGATTAAGAGGTATAGGGGGGAATATAGATGAGGTGGAGATGAAGCCAAAGAGTGAAAAGCGATGAAATCATGGGCCTCACCGCCTTGAGGAGCATTATGGGGAAGCCAATTCACCGCCTTCCTGAAATCGACTGATTGTCACGAGGGATGAAAGTCGCGGCGATGAAAGAAATCATCGCGATCGCTGCTTTTCTGCTTTTTCTCCCTCCCTCTCCCTGTTTTCCCACAGTTCTCTCGCGCCTTTTTCCTGCCTTCCCATGGATGGCTCTATGCATCGATCCAAGCGCCGTCGCCTTGATACCACTCCCAAGCCCCAGAATGGCTTCATCCATTCGCCCGTAGAATCCTCGTCCGACGAGCTGGCCGCGGGCTCCGACCACGACGAGGCCGAACGCCGCCGCGCCAGCTGGTCCATCCAGAAGGCATATCCCCCACAGCGCCCATACCGTCGCTCGCGCAGCTTCAGCGGCTCCGAGAGCCCCGATGAGCTCGCTGTCGACGCGAAGGAGTACTGGTCGGCGAGGAACCGCGGTCGCAGTCCATCCTCGCCCTCCGAGCCGAGCGCGGAGCCGTCCTCGGAGCGATATCTTGATCACGACCACGACGAAGCGGAAGAAGAGGAGGTAAACGATGCTCCCGAGCCTGAGTTCGACCCCGAAAATGATCCGGAGCAGGAAGACGGCGGCGCCGAGGGCGATGTCGAAGAGACCGCAACCGCTGCCGACGGTGATGTAGCTGTTGATCAGTCGTTTGGCGAACGGTCGCCCACCCCGGTGCCGCAGCCACCACCACCACCGCCCAAACCGGACAAAGTGACTTATCACCAGAAGTATTTACTACGAGGTCATATTCGAGGAGTCTCGGCAGTACGGTTCTCGCCGGACTCTTCGATGATCGCTAGCGGAGGTGCGTGTTCCTTTATGCCCCCCTCCCTTCTCCCTAATTTTCCTTTGTATCAATTGGATCGCTGACTGTTCTGCTAGGGGCGGATGGGGCTGTCAAGGTATGGGACACAGTGACGGGTCGGTTGATCCATACGTTCGAGGGTCATCTGGCAGGCATTTCGACCATCTCGTGGAGTCCGGACGGAGCGACCATTGCGTCGGGATCAGATGACAAGACTATTCGCCTATGGAATGTATTGACGGTGGGTTTCACATGTTGTAAAATAGCGTTGGGTTATATGCGTCGGAAACTAATAAGTCGCAACAGGGCAAGGCACATCCGATCCCCTTCGTCGGCCACCACAACTACGTCTACCAGATTGCATTTTCGCCCAAAGGCAACATGCTCGTGAGCGGATCCTACGATGAAGCGGTATTTTTATGGGATGTGCGATCAGCACGAGTGATGCGGTCGCTGCCCGCACACTCCGACCCGGTCGGAGGCATTGACGTCGTCTGGGACGGCACCCTCATTGCCTCGTGCGCGACAGACGGATTGATTCGGATCTGGGATACCGCGACAGGCCAGTGTCTGCGGACGCTGGTGCACGAAGACAACCCGCCTGTGACGGCGGTGAAATTCTCCCCGAATGGCAAGTACGTGTTGGCGTGGACGCTGGACGACTGCGTGCGACTGTGGGACTACGTCGAAGGGCGGTGCATCAAGACGTACCAGGGTCATGGCAATGTGAAATACAGTCTGCAGGGCGGATTCGGGGTATATGGGGAGCGGGGCGGACCGCGGTATGCGTTCGTCGTCAGCGGCAGCGAGGACGGAGCCGTGCTGTGCTGGGACGTGGTCAGCAAGCAAGTGCTGCAACGTCTGGAGGGCCATAACGGGGTAGTGCTGGGAGTGGACACATGCACGCTGGAGGAGTCGCGACTAATGGTGAGCTGCGGGTTAGACGGGACCGTGCGGGTATGGGAGGAAGTGGATGCAGAAGCAGCAGACAACACCACTAACACCTCCACCATCAACACACCTCCCCAAATCAATGGAGACGGAGTGAATGGAGACATGGCCCAATTGAATGGGGTCATGGAAGTTGAAAAACCTAACGGCCAACCAGAAGCAAACCACGACCACAACCACGACCACAACCTCGAGCAACCGAACGGACACAAAGATAACCCGGAACCGGAACCGGAAGACACCGAAATGGGCGAAGCCACCGGCCCAGACGGGTAACTCCAATGTACATTATTATTATAACCAGGAAACAAACAAACCAAAGATAAAAAAAGAGAACAAAAAAGGCTGGCTGGCTGGATGGGTGAATGGACGGACGGACGGGCGTTCAGGAATGTATAATAGACACGAGGGATGATGAGATACAGTACTCGATACATTATTCAACTAACCACAAACAACTACTATAATATGATGAGTGGGTGTCCACATACACACAGACATCCACCGACTACTACCTACCTAACCTAAACACCTGTCATGATACATACCCACTTAACAGTCTTTTACCTCTGAATCTCTACTTCTATCTAGACCTCGTCTAACAACCCCAAGCAAGAAACAACAAAAAGTACTAGTCAACTGACCGTTACACAAGCCAAGCCAGCCAAGAAACGCGAGGAAAAAATCCAGACTCTCCAGACTCTACATTATCTACTACATAGAGTCACTCACTGACGAAAGCCCAATTTACCGAGCCATTGGAACCAAGCCGAACCTCACTAGTACTTATCTCTCTCACTCTCAATCAAGAAATTACTTAAAACACGTCCTCAACTCCTCACGAAAAAAAGAAAAAGAAAAAAGAAACCCGCAGCCAAGCGAGCCCAGACCAAACCCAACCCGGTAAATCTCCATGATAATCAACATGAACAAAACCAGACGATGGAAACCCAAAAATAGCCTTCCGGCCAATGAACACGGCAGGTGCTGTGTGTTGTCCATGGATATGTAGAAGTCAACGGGGTAAGGAGGAGCAAGGACCAATGTTGCTGCTTTCTGGGTCGGGGGATCCGTGGAACGGGGCCCAATAGTGTGTTTAGGGGGGAAAGATTAGTATGTGGACTTGTGGAGAGGGTCAGGTTTGGTGAATGTGATTTATGATTTGATTATTACAATTTTTGTGTAGGAAGTTTGTGATGTGTTGTGTTTAATTTAATTTAATTTAGATTTGGATTTGAATTTGATTCAAATTGGAATTGTAATATATTGGAAAGTAAAGTGGGTGGGTAAAATGGGGTTGTCCGTCTCTCTTTCCCTCTTAGGTGAGAGATGGATGGTAGAATGGAATAGAATAAAAAACAGCACAAAAAGGTATCACGGGATAAAAGTCCAAGGTAAAGCAGATCTAATGGAATCCAAAGGTAGTTGGTTGTTCTATGCAACGTAGACCTTTCCACTCGAGCTCAACTCCTCCCCGCTGAGCAGATACCCATCTGCACACATGTAATACGCATACCGTCCCACGCCACTCTGGCTGTCCAACCACGGCAAAACTTCGTCAAGGAAGTCCGCCGCTGAACTCTCATCGCCGCCGGCCGACTCGTCGCTGGTGAGGGCGAATTCTGTCACCCAGGTCTCGTCCAATCCGTTGTCGTCCGCCACCTGCATGGCCTCCTGCACGAAGGACTTGAACTCATCGGCCGAGGTGCCGTACCAGTGGACTGCCAGCACCGACATGTCACACTCGCTGCATTCGGACAGGAAGGACTTCATCCAGCTGAGACCCTCGCCTTCCGTGGTGCTACTGGTCACGGCCGGGGTGACGAGCTTAGCCTTGCCAGAGTAAGGAGTGATGTAATTCTTGTAGGAGCTGGCGGCCTCGGAAGCAGTCATCGAGGCTTGGGAGGAGGAGTCGGGCTCGTTGAATCCCATGATGTAATTGCTACCGCTATCAAGGGCAGTCTCGATGGCGGTCAACCAGCCTCCAAACATCTTGCTGCCCCACAGCATGGGCACGTATTCGACGTTACTGGGGAGGGTGCCGTCGGCGTACATGTTCCAGTCGTAGGCCCAGGAGACGGTACCGTTGCCGGAGGAGCCGTAAGTCAGCGTGTGAACGCTGGAAGCAGAGTTGTAGGCAGCGCCACGCTTGGAGGAAGAGGTCCGCTTGGAGGCGACATGAGTGGAACGGTGCTTGTGGCTGCCATGGCCATGGCCACTATGAGGGATGGCCAGAACGGCGGTGGCCAGGGTGGTGGCGGTCAGAAGAGACTTGAAGGAGACCATTGTGTATGTGTTCTGCGAATTTTGTTCGGTTTTGTTCGGAGAGAAGTGTTGTGTATGTATAACTTTTGAGTATGAGAAGACCGGTTCTCTCAAAGTGCTCTTGCAAGGAGTGGATGCTAGACTACTCGGAGTCAGGCAATATGTTCAAAGAATGAAGGAATGGCTCGACCGTGCACGGCACAGGTGCAAAGAAGGAAAGGCTGGGGAGGTGAGAGAGGAAGATCTAGGTGAGGAAGAAGAGTTTCGAAGAGGAGACAGGGAGGGGAAAGAGGGCGGTTATATAGACGCCCAACAACGGGGAGTGGCAGTTGCAGAACCAAGTTAGGGCTGGGTGCTTTTTCTAGGCGCCAATTTGGTTCCGACCAATCAGGTCTCCACAAGGAGGAAGGTTCTTATTTGCTCTTGCATGAGTAAAGTCGAACTAGTCACTAATCGTTGCTTTTTCCATTGTTCGACGACCCCCTCTGATTGCCTGCGTCGGAGCGTTCCTGACCCCCCTGCATCCTCACCGCGGCCGACCCATGGAACGTCATCGGGCGGGTACCGTGTGTCGCTCAGGGACAGTGGGACAGAGAAATATTGACGCCCATTATTCAGCCCGTGTGCCTGGCGGTTGGCAGTGACTGGACAGCAAGCGTCCGGGGGTAACCTTGCGGTGGTTGTTCCTGCAGCGGTGCGGATACCTGCAGTTGATCGGTCCAGTGGATGTATCCGACTTATTCCCCCTACTTTAATGGAGGTGTATGTCTACCCAACAACATCATTTTTATCTCGTACTTTTGTGCAGTCTTTTCTCTCGACAGAATCGCCCTCGACAATCCGGTTCTGTGATGGGCCATGTCGGCCAACCGTCTGGCAGCGGCCAGACCGCGCCTTTAGGGCAGCACTAGTTTAGTGGCTGTTAGTTCACCATCTGGCCGGGATGAACGCCCACAGCGCGCCCCCCACTGCAGTCCAGACTCGAAGGCATTCCCCTCGTCTGGGCGCCATGCACTTGTTCCCCTCATGTAATGCTGATATTTTCTGTGCCCTAAGAACCACACCGCAACCATAGTTGACCTCTCGTCAAGTGTACCGTTCTGCAGCAAAGATGCAGAATCTGTAGACGAGCTACATAGAAGGGAGGTTTCTACTGCTTGGCAAATTGGCATATCCCCCTTTCGAAGGGATTCCCTTTCCTTCTACCCAGCCCTTTCCCGGGGGTGGGATATTTTTGTGCCGTCTGACGTTTGGGAGTTGCGTGGCGTCAAAGCCACCATTATCACTGTCGGGCGGAGAAAGGGCTGTAGGCAGCGACCACCGACGAGAGCCGGGCCTTTATTCGCTGATTTGTGTTTGTTTCAGCAGAGCAATGGCGTCAGGCACGGAATAAGCAAAGAATCGAATGATTAGCCGATTTTGAGGGATAGAGTCGATACACTATTGGTTCAAGGTGTGAAGCATCACTAGTCAGCTAGTGGTGTTGATGCTTGACGGCCGCGATCCATCCTAAAGGCCCCTCACTGGCTGATGGGGATGGTGATGCGTCCCGGCCGTAAAGCGTCTCAGCAGGGAACTAATGACGGTGGCGCAACGGCATCAGACTCCACCGATCGATCAGGTTGATACTGATGGTTATGAACTGAATATTGAAAATAGCTTGAATTTAGGAGTTAACTGATTGTTGAGTTGAGAATAGGTACAGGTGAGAATGCGACTGTGACTGGCTCAACGTGTCGCGGGAATGAAGAAAATCAGTCACATGAAACCAGGCACAGCAGAAGCAAAGTGTGGGAAGAGGAGGGGGAAACACAACGGTCATGGCAGACAAAGAGTGGACTCGATTTCGAGTTCTGTCAGTCAGTCAGTCATTGATCACTGCATCTGTACCAGTAGTCTCCACCCCCGATCAAAAGAAAAGCCAGCGATGATTATTCTGTGTGACTGCCGAGATCACATCGAGTCTCTTCCTCTCTTTGAATTACTCTCCGAACTTATCTGCTGCAAAGACAAACAATGCACCACATCAGCTGACAAGAATACTTCCTTTTTTTACTGTTTATTACTAGATAGTTGAACCCCATCCGTTGTATTACTCAATTCTCTGTCCCAGTCAATCCTTCTGTCTTCCCCTCCCGATCGACAATTCCCCCTCAACCAAGAAAATCAAGCAAAACACATGGCACTACCAATTCAATCCCACGAACTACACTATCATCGTAGCCAAACCTAATCGCATCCCCGTCCACCACTGATCTTGGGCATCGCCCTCCCTCCACCGCGTTTCTCAAACAATCTCAACTTCCCCGTCACCGCCGATCCACCTGCGTTTCAGATTCCCTCCGCTACGCCCAATGACAGCCGCCATTTTGGCTGCCTGCTCACCGACTGCAAGGTACCCCCGCTCGGATAGACAGGAACAAGCAACTCACATCCCGGGCATACCACGTACCTTGCAGTGGATTAGTTCGTCACTGCTTGCTATACGTCGGATATTTCTGCCTACGCAGTACGCACATGCCAGCGCCGTTGCGACGCAATGCAACGTGGTTGTGGATATGGACATATCGGAATTCCGCTCCACACCGATGGAATACTTGTGTCCAAAGTACTGTAGGCAATGGCAGGTCGACATATCACCCGGATCTCGACGGAAATCCTGCAGCTCGTCGAATTGCTAACCCCTTGCCAAACATGTTCATCCCGGTTCGAGAGGGGTCCCAATGTAAGGAATTGGTGCCAGTCGCTTTAAGCCCATAAGTTAGGCACTATCGAGCACCAATCCTGAAGATTTCAGAACATTTTGCAAGGCATCCAATGACTTGCAAACTCGTCGGATCCTATTACCATACCATAGTAGAGCGTTCATGTGATCGTGAACCACTACCCAACTTGCAAGGTCTGCTGGTGACAACAGCATCAGGGGGATGTCTAGTCCCAATTATTTGTACACGCAGTCAATTCCGCCTGCGCGGGGTCCGTCTCCTCATTATTGGAGTAAATATCTAATTCTCGACTTGAGTAGTTCGGGCCAGACTGTTTACAACTCGAGTGGTGTGCCTAAGCTATCGTTGCGAAGCGTTTAATTGGGGCCCGGGGGCCTGTTACACGACAGCAACGGTCTCTGCACTGGCATACCATAACCATGACTCATACGCAGTCTCAAGGTCAGCATGTTCATGTGTCTGTACCAGTAAGCCCCACGCTTCCAATCTCGTGCATGTCTGGTTCAAATCAAAACCTCACTCTATGGTGTGTGGTTTAGTTTCGGGAGTTATTGCAGGCCTCTGAGAAAAGTCTGCTCGCCTCTCTAGACTTTCTGAGATCAGGAGCCTGTCCCATGTATTAGGCATCAATGCATTCTAGAGATGCATGATGAAGTAACTTATGAACTCCCACTTTGACGAGTTTTGCATCGGGAACAATTCTAGCACTGTCTGGGTCCGAAATCCATTACACTCAATGGCCATATCTAACATAAAATAATTTCGAAGTGTCTAGACGCCAGTCGAGTAGTCAATAAAAATAGTCACAATGGTCCGAATGAGTGGACCATTTGAAGCCGGCATATTGAACAAACCGGTCATGTCCGGATAGGGGCTGCATCCCTGCGAGTGTCACGCCATATTGGGCGGCCTTCCCCATGAACCTCGCAAGACTTACCAAAGATTTTATTGAGGCGTGGCGAGTAATATTGGAGAGCTGGTGGTTCCATCAGGGGCCTTGCCACAGCAATGCCTGTACAGTAACTTATCTATTGGGCAGGGAGGAATCGAGCCTCCTGTTAGTGCTCGAAGTAGTAAGATCTTAGCAGAGCATGTATCCCAAGTACATCATCCTCTTTGCTATATTGGGAGAGCTCTGTCTACCTTTCAGAATCAATAAACGCGATATAACCTCTGTTTCGCTCCATATGGATTAAACAATTCATTAAAAAGCATACAGCTCCTTAATGCGTTGGAGGAAAAACCTCAGATGCGCAGCTCCTCCATTAGTTCATCCTCCAGGATGTTCATGTGTCTGCTCTCTAGAACTGGGCCTTTGCAGACTAAGAAGTATGGATAGGCCTATCTGTGCAGACAACAATCGATTCTCTAGATCACGGTGATGTCTTCATCTTGACACTGGTGCGATTCTTGTTGGTAAAACTGTTGATATGGGCTACACTTTCTGCATCTTTGCCATGCAAATATCTTCAATTGATTTTTCAAATGACCAACGATTCATTCCATCTTTGACCTAAACTGTCACTTCAAGGTTAAAAGAAGAGCGCAGAATATAATGCCACATTCCTAGAACGGAGGGCCTATTGCTAAGCGCAAGGACCACTTCTCGCAGCACTCCATGTCCCTTGAGCGTCGTATAGTAGCTTCATCTTATCGACATCTTATCGACAAAAGAAAATAAATAAATAAAGAAACTATGTCAAGGGGAAACCACTTTTTCTCGGCCCTCATGAGTCCTTCTCGCACCACAAAATGCCTGGTATCGGGCGAGGTCCCTTAGCGATCCGAGTCCAAGACGGTCTAGAAGAGGGAACCGGAAGACATGCCAAAGCCGACGTAAGCCAGCAGTCTGATGGCGGGTCGCTCATCTTAATAGGCAACTAGTCCGGGTGACTTTCTGCTGGCTTCTGAATATCGAAAGCAGGTACTTTCTTAACTTATACTATCGGGATACAGTGCCGTTATGCTGAAGCCGGGATCATGAAATTGCTAGTATAATAGCCTTACCAATGCTTGAGTCTACTATTGACCCAGGATTGCGGTTGAGCATGAGCATTTTGAGCACACCTCCCGGACAGTTTCAACAGGGTAGTATCTACCCCGTTTCTGACTCAAGAAACGGAGAAATATAACCCGGGCCCAAGCTCATCTGATGAGAGAGCATGGTTGCGGGCGCAGCTTATTCGACTTTCAATAGAGAGCCCAAGTCTGGTTGACTTGATTCCTGAGGCCACCTACGAAAGCCTAAAGAAATCCCGCACTAACCAGTTTGGGACATCTAACTATCCACAGCATAAGACCATATTACTCAGCACCCCCGGCACATGTATCTTATGTAACCGGCTAACCGAAGGGGGCAGCGGCAAGAAGCCCGGTGGGGCGCCACCGCACAAACGCGTGACCTTGGAGCGAAACAGCGAAAATTCCACACCCATCGACCTCTACTCGCAACCCCGACAAACGCCATCGACAGAATCCCTCCTTGTTGTATCTGAAGGTCAGATTTTATCGCCAAGATGGGTAAGGTATGTTAAACTGAGATAATTCCCTCTGCTCAAAATGATGATATCGATGAAATGATGGAAATAACTAACATGCCTTTGATTCCAGGTTCACGGATCGGTAAGCCTCGCCTCCTCGTCCATCGACGGTATCCCAACGCAAGAAGACATCATCCATCTAACCTAACATCGCAAAACCAATAGCTCGCTCGTGCCGGTAAGGTCAAGAGCGCAACCCCCAAGGTTGAGAAGCAGGAGAAGCCCAAGAGCCCCAAGGGCCGTGCCCGCAAGAGACTCGTCTACACTCGCCGTTTCGTCAACGTTACCCTGACCGGTGGCAAGCGCAAGGTATGAATGAACCAAACCGACCTGGCACAGATTCCAAATTCGACATGGCACGAAGAAAGAGAGTCTGGAATAGAGGTTCAGTACGGCTTACACATTATCCTTTCTACTATCTACAGATGAACGCCAACCCCACCCAGTAAACGGCTAAATCTTCGATGAACAACCGCAAAACGACGAACGATTCCCCGGGTTTCAAATGGCGTGATGGGAAATTGAGGGGCTGAGCAAAACCATGTGATGCGTATCTCATCACAAAGTCGCTTGGAAAGAGGGGGGAAGGCCATCCCTTCGTTTTCTCTTTTCAAGCGGGGGCCCGTTTAGTGATGTTTTTAAAGCTATTTATCGACTCACCTTTTGTGTGTGGAAACGGGTTTTCAAATGGAATGACCTTCCAGATGATTGATTCATGTTCTTCGAGTTTATCGGATTATTATTGGGATGAATACCATCGCTGTTCAGTCTCTCAACCATCGTTTTTCTGGCCTCTGGCTACGGATGCGCTTTGAGCGTGTATCTGCCTGTAGATGGGGTATCCGGGGGTACCTGTGACTGAGTGAGTCACAGTGGCGAGGCTGACAGGCTCGCACGCACTACTTGGAATGCGCAAGCCAGCAGTCGAACGGCTGAGTCTGAGCGTTTCAGAGGATGTCCAGGATGACGTGAGATAAGCATCTCCCATCCTCCCCGTCAACTCTGTTGTAGTCGCACGAAGGGCAGAACAGCTATATTGTAGAGCAAATAATCTTCCTTCGTATTCCGTAGCAAATAGCTCCTAAATTCCCTGGCTAACATATACCGAGCCATATGTCTACCACTATATCCCACACATAATTTACCCCTCCAAGCTACCCCTCCATACTCTGTAGATACTGCCTAAAGCTCAATATATCCAACTACTACTAGAGAATACTCACCTTAACCTTGACCCCATACTCGCTTACCCACTTCTTCCTCTTCCCAACCTTCTCAACCTTCTCCGTCCTCTCCCGCAACATATCCTCCTCTAGCACTTCAAAAAACCTCACATTCTTCCACACATTCACCCTCAACAAATCACGCCGTTCCTTCTTCTCGATCTCCTCCCACTGCGTCTCAATCCGGATCCGCCACTGGCCCTCCACCCTCCCAGCAGGATACACGTCCCCGACCAGAACAGCTACTCTCCCCAGATACCGAGCCCACCATACCTCCTGCGCCGTGAGACACCGACTCAGTTGCTTATGGTACGCCTGGTCCATGGGCGCTAGGTCTCCAGTCCAGCGCTCACAAAGCACAAGGGCAATGAGGGCTCGTTCGACATGGGAGAGACAGTTCGTGGAGGAGAGGAGGCCCGTCGTCGTGCTGTGGAGGGCTGCGGCGGAGCGGGATTCACGGGGGACTTGGGAGTGGGCGTAGAGGAGGTTAGTTATGGCTGCGATTAGGTTCGGGGTGAAGGATGGGGGAGGGTGGATTGAGGCGATGGGTGAAGGTGAAGTGGGTAGTGCTGATTGGAGGAGGTCTCTGATTGCGTTTGCTGAGGGGGGTGCGTATGGCACTGTTGCTGCGAGGAGGGGGTCCTGGGCTCGCACTTCGCTGGATAGTCGGTCGAATAAGTATCCTTCGCGAACGCCGCCCTGGCAGAACTGGATGTGAGTGATCTCCGGTAATGCGTCCATGATCACGTCCACGAGAACGGCCACGGCGGGGATCTGGGAGGCGCGGCGTTCTGATACGCCGAAGATCTTCTCGTCGGAATCGGAAATCACTTCCAGGACTGAGACTGTATCGTGGAAGTCTTCTCTCTTGACGCGGAATCCGTTGATTATGGGGATCGGGTACGGGTTCACTTTGCTCTGCTTCATCAGTACGTACCCCCAGCCGCGGAACCCCCCGCCGCAGAGATATAGATCGAACCTGCCTCGCCTGCGGGCCATCTCTACCAGCGCGTTGGGGACATCCAGCTGGCGATACGCGTCCTGGATATTCCGAGTCATCTCACTCTTGAGCTCTTTCACAGCATCTTTCCCTTGTTTCTGTGCCTCCTCTAACCGTTTCGTCAACGCCGCGGCTCCATACGGGAAACTGAACGAGCCCTTCGGACTCGTCGTAACAGTGCCCTCTGACTCCATCACCCATGTGATCTGGGTGCTTCCGCCCCCTAGATCCATGGCGATACCTGCCACGGAGGCAGAGCTGCTCGCGATCCCTAATGCCCCTATCCTCCCTTCATCTTCCTTCGAGAGGAGAGTGACTTCCCACCCGGTATATTCTTTGATTCGCGCTCTGAATTCTTCAGAGTTTGAGGCCGTCCTGGTCGCCTCTGTAGCTAGGACGTAGATGTTCTCCTTGGGTACTTGGAAATCGTCGCAGGTGAGTTGAAATTGGGCCAGTCGGTGGATGACTTCCCCGGTGGTGGGGGGTGAGATTGGGCCCCGCGTGGGGCCGGAGAATTGCGCGTCGTAGAGCGAGATGCCGGCTCGGTCTTGGAATAGGATGGGCATGAGGCGCGCGGCATGGGGGGAGAGGTCTGTTATCGAGAATCGTATGCCATTGCTGTTGGTTGGTTGGTTGTTTGTTAGTTAGGTGTTTTCAATATATAGCTTTGTGGTAGTTATAGTGGGGAGAGGAATGTGTGTTGAGGGGTTTGTATACCTGCCCATGTCCACGATGCCGTAGAGGTCCCGGGTTTCGGTCGAAGCGTTCGCCATTTTTGGTGTGAGACGTAGTATTTAATGAGGCGATAAATGTATGTATGTATGTGGTGAATGAACGTAAATGCAACTGATGGAAGAGATAGTAGCCTAATCAAGGCATTATTATGCTGCTAGGGTGATAAGCGTGCGCCCGAATTAGCGCTTGTCGTTGAGCGATGCACATGATCGATGGTAGTAGTAGACTTGGCTCACTAAACTTGTAAGAGAAGAGGATCTGCTGCAGCTTCAACTTCAGTACGTAGAAATGATGAGGTTGTGGTTCAATTCCGTGGGGGATGAAGTCACATTGTGGCGTAGTTGATTAGTATATTTCTGTGACCCCTCCATGCTAGTGCTGCCCAATAGAGCACCACTAGTGCGCACAGTAGTGATCACAAACAACTTTGGGAATTGATTTGCTAGTTAATCATTATTTCATCTGCGGGCATTTTATTTCATGTAGTGTACTAGTAGTTTATATATTGCGGGTAAGAAGACCCAAGTACTACTACATACAGTGACCAGTCTTCACTGCAGAAGATATCCAGGCCCACATAAACCGAATAGTAATCATGTTGTGTATAGTTCAATGGCCCCGCTGCAAGCATAGGAGCCAGAACAAACGCAACAGTTTAAAGCAAGATGATAAGAAAATACTCTTTCATAACGAAAAGGGTACTCGTAATCACACCGCAGACAATCGAGCCAGGACTTCCTGGCCTCTTTCATCCAAATCTGGATAATTTCTCAAATGATACAAATCCATCCAAAATCTTTTTGCATCTTCATGTGGATCGAGACGCTGTCGTAACAACGTCCTCCAGTCGGTATCTTCATTGGTGAGACCCCAAGTTGCTGAGATGTATTCGTACCATACGGGATAGTATGTTGCATGTCTCCCAATCCAGGATGCCAACAAGCTGCCCATCCTTAACCATGATATTCCCTATATTGAGGTCACAGTGAGTGAGGACGTAAGGTGCGCATTTAGGAAAACGTTTCTTTAAGCCGTCCAACGCTTTCTGAGGGAATGATCTTTCAGGTGGGTTGTGGAGGGTGAGGCTAATGGTAATCCATAGTTCAAGGTCAGAGTGAAAAGGACCACGAGGTTCGGAAATAAAAAAGAGCAAAGCTGGAGCGCAGACACTTCGCTCAACCCTTTGTATACTCGACGATGTAATGGACTGTAGATGCTTGCAGATGCCAGCCACCTGGTCTGCGATGGCGACTTTCTGGTCGTGTGATAGTGTAGGCCAGACTTTTCCCAGTGTATCCCCATCCATTCGTTTTTGTATCATGAAGTAACGGCCGTCTCGATCGACCCAATCACGCAAGAGCTCCCGTGCTGGAATATGGGGGTAAGAGGCAAGGAGCTCCAGTGCTTTCGCTTCATTCCTCGATCCATCGTCAGGGCGCTCTTTTGAGAATCACGTCGGTGCCAATTGACCATACGCCCCACCATGTGCGGCGTAGAACAGCTTGAGGTGATTGTCATAACAACATCGCGATTGCTGGTCATGAGTCCATCCACATATTACGCAACCTTCATCCGAAACAGTTTTTCCGGCCATGGTGTTGAACCGAAATGCTTTGGGCGATGAAAGAGTGTAGGGACGGAGCTGGCGACGAGCAGCCGCTATGTATGTCCTGCGGGAGATGCTCACCGCTATAATAATAGGGCCAGAACTATACAACATCGACACCTAGCTTACTTCAACAATAATGGCATGCTTATTTCGCATTGAATGTATATCATGGCATGTATTCTATATACTCTGTTCCGAATACATCCTCACGTTATCATAAGTCATAGCATCATAACAACCTCGTCGACAGGACCATCCACCAATTACAGCACATATCGGTAATCTGCTCCATAATTCTCCTCTCCTAGGGTGAGATCTCCCTTCGAGGTCGCCTGGGCGGCCCTCTCGGCCGCAGTGCCATACTTCTTGTCCAGACGGCGGTTTTCCCAAACAAGCAGTGTCCGTAGAGCCAGAGCTAGGATCACGGTGAAGAACATAAAGGCCGCACAAATTGACTGCCCCCGAATGTAGCGAGGTGCGTCACTCGCTGGGAAGACATTAGTTCCCAGGAAAGGACCGCATTGGCCGATGACGTTCAGTATAACAATACCCATTCCCCGTCGAGTATCTGAGCCTTGGTTATCTAATTTCAAATGTTAGTCACATGATCAAGGCAAAGTTGGCGTAATACATACTCAGAACCCAGGGGAGAATATTGGCGATCGAAGGAAAGACCCCCACTGCTGCCAGGAACACCCCAAAGTAGCGCACCCCAACGGAGGTGCAGGTCGCAAGCAGCACATATCCAATGGCACCAACAAGCGACGACAAAGCAATCACCAAACCTCGCTGCTGAAGCCGATCGGCCAGCCAGGTAGTGGCGATCGTAACGAGGAATGAAGCGAAATAAGGCGGCGCCGTCAGGCCTTGAGCATTGATCGCGGTGAACCCCATGTCTTCCAAAATCGTTGGAAGAAAGACAGGCAGCGAGGAGAAGCTCACATTGCAACTAAAGTACATCAACTATATCATCTTGTTGTCAGTATACCACTCGATCGAAAGGGCCACCGTGACATACCGCAGTAAGCCATGCCTTCGCATCCAGCAAGGTCTGCCACAGTTCCTTCCAGTTAATGCCGGTCACCCGCTCACTTTCACCACTGCGTCGGAGCGACCGGGCGCGTGCCACCTCTTTCTCTTCTTCGGTCAAGAAACGGGCTGATGCGGGATGATCTGGCAAGTAGAACCATGCCAAGAAGGCTGCCACCAGCGACGGGCTGCCTTCAACCAGAAAAAGCAAGCGCCAATTGGCGATCTTTGCATGTCCCGAGGTGATACCATATGCAAGAGCGCCTGCAAATGTATTGGCTAGAGGCGCAGCTGACAAGAACAAACCGCAGCGAAGGCCAAGCTCTTGACGACGATAAAAGAAAGAAAGCAGATAGGGTGACCCGGGACCAAATGCTGCTTCGGACATGCCGAGCAGGAAACGCAGAGCCATCATACCGCCCCAATTCTGTGTTGCGGCCTGGCAGGTCGCAACAATGCCCCTGCATCAGTCAGAAATACCGAGCAAGGGACCTAAAGACTATGGGTCTATACACACCAAGTCATCACTGTGATCGCTGCCCACCTATGAGGTGGCATAATTTTCCACATCAAAGCCAGGAATTCGAACAGAGTGTAGGATATGTAGAAGATTGTCAGGAGCCATGTATAGCGATTTCCCGTAAGGTGTAAATCCTCTTCCATTCCCGCGATTTTGGCATTTCTGGCATTATATTAGGCGAGAGTTCACAGCTGGTATGCAAAGGTCCAGAAACATACCCAATGTTGCTTCTATCCAGGAGGGAAAGAAGATCTGCACGTACACATCATATTAGATACGCTCCGAGAAAGACCAAAGTGAAATGGGACGCGAGCCGGGATAAGAGGATGAGCGGTGAAACAGTAAGTGGGGGAATAAGAAAGGATATCGGAGCTTACACAAAAACCCTAGCAGCGTTGGAACTCTCAAGTCCAATTTCCTCAACAAGCGAGCTTCAACTGCGGGATCAATGGTAGGTGTGGCCTGAGGAATTTGGGGAAGCGCTGTGTGAAAGTCCTCATCATGAGCGACTTGTTGCTTTTCTGGATCAGGCCCCGGAGCCTCGACGATGGCATCGACATGGCCCGTAGCGTCACCGGGAGCTTCCCTCTTTCCAAAGAAACCCATGACTCACTAAACGGAAAGGAGTGGAACAGATGCAGAAGTCAGACCGAACAAGGGCAGAATGCAAGAGAAGGAGGGCGGAAGCAAGATTTATAGCGCCAGCGCAATGCAGGAGGGGTGATCCGCGTGGTCTGTCACCAGCAAGACCTTTTCGAATAGGAACCACGATTACGCGAATGTGTTCTCTCCTCTTCACGCCCCGCAGGTGAGGGATAATGACGTTAAGCAGGGGTGGGAGGGGAGCGGGAGAGAACTACTGGATAGATCAGACGAGACAGTTGCCATTTCAGGGAAAATGCCATCGCTTGCTAAGAGCCGAACGGCACTATAGGAGGGCTACACTCCAAGCGCATGAAAAAGCCGAAGGGGAGACGCATGGGCTCGGGTCAATGACACGCTCCAAAGGACCCAATCATGACGAGTGCGGAGAGAAATCATCACTGCGTGGTGGGTGGCGGGTCAAAGCTTGGATCCAATCCAACCGAGTTTTGCGAAAAGGCTTGGTTGGGAAAGTTGCAAAGGCATTGGACGACGAGAAGACGCGGCTGGATGTTTCAATATGAGTCGTTGGAAGACCCTTGCCGACTATACTGCATGGTTCCCTCGCATGGACATACCGGCAGTTTGAAATCCAGACACTGTAAGCATGCCTGGATCGATTAGAGAGATGAACCAGGGCATGAAGTTCCCTTGACGATGGGGTCAGCTCATTGACTCACTCCACGTAGAGAATCTAGTTGGTCAACTAGTCTGGGGGGCGGCTAAAACCATAAGACCCCAACATTGCGGGGATGGAGAATCGGATGCACGAATTGCACGCTTGGGGAAAGGATTAATGTGGGCTTTTCCGACGATCGTTGGCCAGCCGGGATCTTGTCTCAATCGGGATCTATCGCAGCCTGGTGATTCAGGCAGATAACTGCACGCTAGGTCTCTCCCGTTGCCCGCAGGGGCCATGTCGGGAATCGGCCAGGAACCTCAAAATTCCGCGTCGCGTTGGCCTTCGTTGCTCTCCGCTCACCAGCTTGCGCTCGATTGTCGCCTGTCGGCCATTTTCATCACCGGATGCGCTTCGAATTGTCCATCCGCTAAACATTCCGCGTGCTAGGCGACCACCTTGATACCCATCTTCCCTAGTTCTCTCACGGCCTCTCCTCACCATGGACGACCCAGCGAGCCGTGTTCCCGCGCAGTTGGTAGGTCATCCAGCTAAGACGTGCTGCTGCATAGCTAGAATCTCCGATTGCTAACCAGTGACATTTCCAAATGGCTTATTAGCTGCCGCATATGCATCTGGTGTCGCGGCACCGGTATCCCCTTATGCATATGATGCCCACCGACACCGTCGTCGAATATCTCCTCTCCGCGCCCAAGATCGTCCGGGAGGCGCAACCGATGCATTGGACGTTCCTCGATGGTCCGCAGGACGGTTCTGTCATGCTCACCTGGCAGCCATTGAACCAGCTGGGAACCAACTTTGCTAGCGACGGTTATGTTTGGGCCGACGTCGAACAAGCGTTCACCTTCGAAGCTCGCGGCTACGTATGCGCATTCTGACCCTCTTCCTCTCCTACGTTGATGCGCTGATGGCTGACACGGAATGCTCCAGCTGGTGGAGATGTGGCTGCATCGCAGTGGTTATCACCCACCCAACGAGACCCTGGCTATCCACTGCCGCAGACGCTACCGACTTCTGCCGTCGAAGGTTCCCAACCCGAATGTCCCCCCGCCTGACCCTTCCCTGTGGATCGTTCACTACTCGAGAGGCCCTCCCACAGACCACATCCCCGCGAATCGGATCCCCATCATGCCTCCTGTCCAGAACATGCTGGCTCAACGGCGGTTCCTTCAGAGCCAAGGCCAACTCGCGCGCAAGGACTTCATGTTACACGATCGCAACAACTGGCCGGCCATTAATTTCCCTCCGCAGATGGCCCCGCAAGGCTTCCCCCAGGTTCCGGGCGCATATCCAAGTGCCATGGTGGGACGCCAGCAGTTCTACCCCCCGCCTGGCCCGGGTGTGCCCCCTCCGGCCGCTGCCACACCAGCCAAGGCCGCGCGCGGGCACCGTGCTTCATCCGCTGCAGTCAATGCTGCCACAGCCGACTTCGCACTTGAAGATGAAGACGTTTCAACTGGGGATGCTATGGACCTGCTTACTCCGCGCGAGATCAGCAAGATGAGATACCAGCAACACCACGAGTGGATGGAGGAAATCTTCGCCTCACCGTACGCTATCAACCAGATCACTCCAGTCTCATTGGGCCTGGGGCGGAAAGGAGAGCTGGAGTCGTTGACGGCGGGATTCTTCGACGCACCCGTTGGACCTGCCAGTGGAGAGACGAAGGATGCCAACACGTCAACTCAAGCCGCAGAGAAGATGGAGCCTGCTAAGGCGGAAGAATTTGCTGACCGTGTCGCCAAGAAGGTCGCTGACATGACAGCTGAGATTGAGAAGTTGAAGAAGCGCCATGCGCGTCGCATGGAGAAGTTTAACCGCACCTCGCTGTTGAAGGACGCGGAACTTCGGCTCCGAGAAGCCGCTACAGACCCTGCAGAAACTGGCACAGAGACCTGGCGATTGGAAGGCCGTGTCGTGATGCCTTCGGAAGATGACGACTCACAGGCTCCTCAGGTAGAGAATCCTGCTAAGTACAAGGTTGACGACATTGTACGGGAGGTGGAGAAATCGTGGCAACGACAGATTGTACCGGAGCCCAAGATCTCCTGCGTGCAGAAAGGTGGTCTGCTGGAAAAGATTGAGCCTGAGCAGAAACCCGAACCCCAAGCGGAAGGTGATATTGACATGGAGAATGCCGACAGCCACTTCCTTGACCAACTGGGCTCGCCATCTGCCGCTGGGGCCGTTCCTGCTTCATCCACCACCCAAGAGCCAACAGCACCGACAGCCGTGCCCGGTGTTCCTCCCACAACCAGTGTACCCTCTGGAGGCGTATCCGTGCCACCGCAGCCACAGCCCACCGCCGACGCTACGCAGCAGGGCGCGTCTCTCGATATCGACATGGATATGGGCGATGCACAGGCGACGAACACGGCCGCCGGGGAAACGGGCGACTGGGTGATGGTCAACGACGAGAAGAAGGATCAGCCTGCTGGCGGTGATAGCTCCCTACCGGGCATCAGCACCCCGGGTAGTGGCATCCAAGGCCTGACACCCGGAAATGGGGGCAGTGCCGGGGACTCTGCGCTGGACGGGGCCAACTTCGATTTCACGAATATGGATAGCGCAGGCGATGCGCTCGCCGCATACACCGAGCAGAACGAAGGGTTGGACCTCCCGGACCTGGAGAACTCGGCGTTTGGCGATGCATTCCACGCATCGGATAATGAGAACACCCATCACCACGATGCGGACGATATGGCTTAGAACTGCTGATCGCTGGGTTTCGGGATTCCTTGGGGTGGGGGACACGGTGTTTGTGGTGCTCTTGTAACCAATAATTGGCGCTGGGTTTGCTTTGCTTGAGCCCCTTCCGTGTAGAGAGGGGTTGTGAATGAGATTGCTACATTAGCTGTTAAGCAGCATTGTTAATCCTTGTACATTGAGTAGGTGGAGGTGTCCGATCTCGGAGCTGTCAGGAGTACCATCTGCACATCGAAGCTTGAAGCTGTGCCTTGGCTGGTCGTAGCTCAGATCAAGGTTTGTAACAACTATGCATGGCCCATGGAGGAGTCACCAGACCAACTTAGCAACATCATATACAAACCAGTCTTAACCCATACTTCTCCCACTTCTACATCCACCTCCACCTTCACCTCGATATCTGTGTCTCTGTCTCTATTTCAAAACCTCGCTGCACCCATGACAGACATTCAGACCGAAACTAGCACTATCACGGATATGATACACCCACCCGATACCCAATAATCTTCATAATATCCTAACATCCACCTGGGTGACGCTATCACCGGGCCCGACCATCCGCATGACAGGTTACCCCGATCAAGTGATTCCCGCATGGCTATCAACATGAATATAGAGTACATGCGTATCTCCCTCTTCTTCTTCTTCTGTCCTGATTTTGAATTAGTTTCCATCTTAAATGATACCAAGTTGAACATCCATTTCTGCATTGAACCAGGCCTGATCTTAATTTCAATATCAAATCATCCAACCCGTACATTCACTACATTCACCTCGTATCCAAAGACTTCTCTATCGTCCTCAACCTAAAACCCACCCCATACAACCCAAATAACAACAACACAAAAGCGAGAGGCAAAAAGAATAATGTGCCTGCCCCCCCTCTCCGACACCCTCTCCCTCCCCAAAATCCTCAATCTAAACCTCGACTCCTCCTCCTCCCGATGCTCCTCCCCCTCACCACCACCACGATTCCACGATCGCCATCACCACCACAGCCACCACCATCACTTCAGCAGACGACGAAGAAGATCGAACAGCACATGCAGCACCTGCAGTGATACTTCTACATCCACATCCACATCCACTACCACCTCCATCTCCATCCGCCCTCCACCGCGAAGCTATCATCCCCCTCATCCGTCTCGCAAACCTCCGCCACCACCTGCACCTCGAGAGCGAGATACTCACCGAACAAGTCGGACTAAGATTCGAGACGTCGAGGAGACATTCATCCCGCTTCCGCCTGTAAGACCAGTGAGGATTGCAAGGCCGTGGCCGCGCCCGCCTCCGCCGGTGGTTATTGATGTGAGGGAGAGGGAGAGGGAGTACCGTCGGTTGCCGGATATGGAGGCGGAGGAGGTGGAGTGTGTGGGGGTGTTTGAACCAGAGGAGGAGCGGGAGAGGGTGGAGGAGTGGGTGGTTATGAGGGAGAGACGGGGGTGGAGGAGACCTAGTGGTGGTACTACTATTAGGGAACGGGAGAGGTGGAAGGAGGTAGTTGGGGAAGATGAAGAGGTGATTGAGGAAGTGGACAGGGTGGAGAAGGAGGAGGATAGGAGGAATGTGAGGGTTGAGTATATTCGGGCTCGGTAGTGATCTGGGATGAGGTTGGGATGGTGGTGTTTATGGTAGTACTATTTTGGTTCAAGTATATAGAGCTGTTTTGGTTATACTATGTGGTTTAGTTACTAGGATATCATGACTCTTGCTTGACTTCCTCTTGAGGCAATTCTCTTTTTATCAGATACCCGTTATACTTCATCTATAGAGTTCAATAAGCAACTAAGTTCTCCCTCCCATGGAACCAATGCGAATCATCATGGCTGGGCTGTACTGCAACCGGCCGATGACCTCAATGCCCATCCGTGTCCTCCGCATGACGTCACGGTCTTTGTCCAGCTTTCCAGAGGGTTCTTGTTCAAATGCAAGAAATAATTAAACCATTGATCAATGCCATTTATCCCCCTGTGCCCCACAGAATTGATCTACCAATGTCCCGATCGTGGGTTGATTGGTATAGCGACTGCAACTAATTGTCGATCATCGGATGAGATCTGCCATCCGTCCGTTCCACACTAAGTATTATTCGAGGAAGGTGCAATCCTTTCTCCGTCATTGTTGGCTCGTTGTATTTGTATTCAACTAGCTCGTGTAACATTGGATTGTAAAAGTCGGCACCGTGGAGATCCTAGTTAGTTCGCAATCATGTACATCACTCCCGCCTCTCCAGAGACATGATGTTGTGCATACTGACCAGCTTAGGAATCGCAACCTCTCCCACCGAAGGAGAAGCTCATTGACTGCTCGTCCCCGGTTCCGCTTCTCCACGCTGCGCGGCTTTCAGCAGCCCGAGTTGAGCAAGAAGCTGAACCAGGTCATCAAGAACGAGAATGCTGCCATTGGTGCCCATGAGAAGGCCAGTCGCGAGCGCGTGTCCATTGCGTCCCAGCTGTCCGAATGGGGTGAATGGACTGACGACGATGCCGTCGCCGATATCACCGACAAGGTGGCTGTCTTGATGGCTGAGATCGGCGAGCAGGAGGATACCTTCGCTCAGTATCTCGAGGAATATCGCATCGTGCTGAAGCAGATTCGCGACACGGAGAACTCGGTCCAGCCATCCCGCGACCATCGGGCCAAGATTGCAGATGAGATCCAGAAACTCAAGTGGAAGGAGCCACATAGCCATAAGATCGATACCCTGGAACAGGAGCTGGTCAGGGCGGAGGCTCAGAGTCTTGTTGCCGAGGCGCAGTTGACTAATGTGGTAAGTACTAATGTGAATGCGGCATGCAATATCGCAGAAGCTAAAGATTCGAGTTCAGACCAGGTCGAAGCTCAAGGAGGCATTGGATATTCACACTGCTGCGGTCATTGAACGAAACGAGAAACAAATCTTGCTTGCTCGCCATGCGCGTCGCGTTTTGGAACTGCTGGACGACACCCCTGTCGTTCCTGGTGACTCTCCCCACGAGTACGATCGCACATCTTCTACGAGACAAATTCTCGAGGAGGCCGAGAATGATCTCCGTTCGTGGGAGAGCACCACCGTACCCATCCAAAGTGCAGCAGGAGAGCTCCCAGACAGTACCCTTCTACCAACTGCTGCCCGTAGAGCTGCCAATGGTCGCCCATCATATGCGGCTGACACAGCGGTCTCGGACTCTGTGCGGGACGTCAATGGTTCTGCAGAAGCTTCTTACGTTAATGGCGCTGGTCCTGAGCGGTATACAAATGGCACTAGTGTTGAGCAATATGCCAACGGTACTGGCCAGCAGAGATACGTTAATGGCACCGGCCAAGAACGTTATGCCAACGGCACTGGCCAGGAAAGATATGTCAATGGGAACGCCGCGGAGCGACAAGTCAATGGAACTGGCCGGGAGCAGTATACTAATGGTGGCACCACAGGAGCCTATGCCAATGGAGGCACTGCGCGATATGTCGAGGGAGTCGCGCCGGAGGAGTATGAGGATCGAAGTGCCACAGAAGAATACGCTGGCCGTGCTCAGGAACAGAGCGCCACCGGTTTTGCTGAGCAGCAGTATACCAGTCGTGCTCAAGAGCCGGTGGCCGCCAGTGCTGGCGAGGAGCGATACCCCGGTCGTCCACTAGGGCAGGTCTTCACCAGCGCTGCTGATGAGCGGTATGCCACTGGTGGCACAGAGGGACCATCAGTCCCCGCTATTGAGGAACAGGCCACTCCTGCTGCTGCACAGGACCTATACTCCAGCCAGACAGGCCGGGATCAGGTGGTAGATGGCTCTGTCCCGGAGGAAACTCTGAAAACACAGGACGAAGAGGAAGTGCCACGACCACCAGATCCACGACTCTCATACACCTCGCGAGGCTCAGAAGCTCCGCAAATAATCAGCCCAGTCCCGGTGCAGGCTCAGCCCGTGGCAGTCCCCATCTGAGCTGAGGACAGGAGGTGGTGTCTTTGGTTTCTAGCTTTGCTCGTTATCTGTAACTGTAGTTCTAGTACGTACAGTATTTGGCTTATGTGTATAGCCACTCTGAAGCTGAAAAACATGTACCCAAAGTGTCAGCAGAGTGGCTGTTATTGTAATTAGTTGCGTAACTATGAGAAATATGAATTTATCTGCAAAGTCACGTATAGTACGTAGTTGGTGGGAGACCGTATCACGTGATCTAGGCGGCCAGCGTGACGCGGACGCCGGCCCTGGAGCTCCAAGCATCATCTCAGAGCTCCGAGCTGCACCCGCCATCGCCATCTCCCTCTTCCATCGTCCTTCTCGCACCCAACATTATCCTCCAGAGTATAATTCCCCGTTGCTTCGTCGAATTCATCAACACATCTTGCACATCATGGATAAATTGGTCGCTCAATACTCCCGCCCGCCGCATCAGAATGAGTTCTACTCAGAGCAAGAGCAGCGGGACCTCACAGAGAGCCTTCCTCCGCTCTCTCTGAAGTTCAACCTGCCTCCTGTTGATAACGTGAGATACACACCTCTTGAAAATTCTTGTCCAAGGATCAGGTTCTGGAAAAGTTACAGCTGCCTAAGACCGGCCTGAACACCGGACCGACCCTCCTACATGCCTCTTACCAATCGCGGAACCAGTGGCTAACATCCTTCTGTATCTCCAGTCTAGAGCCTTCCTCCGTGCTATGACCGATGACCACTCGAATCCCAGCTGCCCCATTAAACTTGCCCACGGAACGACGACACTGGCCTTCCGATTCCAGGGCGGAATTGTATGCCGTCATCAATGCCTCCGCCACGTCTTGCGCTGACCACTGTTCTCCTAGATCGTCGCTACGGATTCGAGAGCTACTGCTGGAAACTGGATTGCGAGTCAGACAGTCAAGAAGGTTATTCCCGTCTCGCGGTTGAGCCGCGGGGAGGACAAGCCGTCAAATGAACCCACTCCCGGGCTTTTGGGCACCATGGCCGGAGGTGCTGCGGTATGTGCTATCCTTGTGGAGCAATTCATGCTCTGTGCTAGGATAATGGGCCGTGATGGATAGCTGATAACTGGTTATAGGACTGCCAATACTGGTTGAGATACCTGAGCCAGCAATGCACACTTCACGGCAAGTTCAATCATCCACTACTTCCAAGACCTTCATTAACACCAAGACAGAAATCCGCCACAAGCGTCGTATCACTGTCGCCGCTGCGTCTAAGATTCTCGCCAACCTGACATATGCCTACAAGGGAATGGGTCTGAGCATGGGAACGATGTTAGCAGGAGTACGTGAAACCTTCCTAGGAACATTACACATCGATGCCCAATCTAACCCACGATGATAGATGACGCCCCAAGAAGGACCCGCTCTTTACTACATCGACTCAGACGGCACCCGACTCCCCGGAAACCTGTTCTGTGTCGGATCCGGTCAGACCTTTGCATATGGTGTGCTTGACGCCAACTACCGCTACGACTTGACCGAGGAGGAGGCCCTCGAGCTCGGTCGCAGAAGTATCCTTGCTGCCATGCACCGTGACGCGTACTCTGGTGGTTTCATCAACCTGTACCATGTCAAGGAAGAGGGATGGGTGCACCACGGCTTCAACGATATGAACCCGATATTCTGGAAGACGAAGCTGGAGAAGGGCGAGTTCTCGAATGTCACGTCGGAGTTGTAAGCGTGGGAAGTGCTGATGGATTCTGTATGGTGGATATGATACTCTTATTTAAGGCTTAAGATATTTATTATTGATGCTTCTGGATATAGTAATTGTAACAAGAGTAGTTGTCTCCCAACCAAGACAGAAAGCATTGAGGTTACGATTCTACTTACCGACGTCAATGCAAACCAACCAATACACTACGCAGCCCCTACACACGATGATACTTATGAGCAACACCATCTATACCATGAGAACCAAATGAAATAGTTATAGAAGTAGATACATCATGCATACATAACATACATACATACATCCCCAAAAAGCCAACAAATCAAGTAACTGAAGCGAAAAGCAGTGCTGAAAATGCGCCCCCATTCTAGCAACGAACAAAAAGAAGTTTGCTTTTTTATATCATCATCATCCCCCCCACAGATAAATCAATATATATGCAACCTAATTATCCACCCAGAACTTCATGCGAATACCCATAGCAGCCAACTCAACATCCAAGTACCTCAACACACCCGGCACCGCCACAACCGTAACATTATCACCACCGACATAGCGACGACCATCACCATCCTCCCAAACATCAGCTCGGGAATCCTCAAAGACAGCCTCCCTGGCACAGCGACGACAACGGACAATACTCGGCGCCCCGCTAATAGCATTCGCACCGGAATGCTGATTCGAGGCGGCCTTCGCAGCCGCAATACGAGCCTTGCTGGACCCAGCCGAGGACACAGCCACCTGGGTGGAGAGGAAGGAGCCGCAGTCACGACAGATCCAGGAGCGAGTGGCATCGGAACAGTTCATGAGACGGTCCTGGAGGATGTGGGCGGCGCCGTGGGCGATGAGAGAATCGCGCTCCATTTCTCCGACACGGATACCACCTCCCTTGGCACGACCCTTGACGGGTTGGCCGGTCAGTTGGTTGACGGGACCGGTGGTACGCACTTGGAACTTGTCGTTCACCATGTGACGCAGACGTTGGTAGTGGACGACACCGATGAAGATGTCCGCGGCGAATTCCTTACCCGTGATGCCGCTGTACAGGGGCTCGTTGCCGAAGTAGTTGTAGCCGGCTTTGCGGAGCTGGTGGCCGAAGTAGTCGGCGGCGGTGTTTTCTTCGGAGAATTGGAAGGGAGTCGAGTCTTGTGGGTGGCCGTGCAGGGCACCGGCTTTGCCGGCCATGGATTCGATCATTTGGGCGATGGTCATTCCTGGTGGTGGTTAGTGAGTTTAAGGAAGGTTAGGGCTGAGGAAGGGAAGGGCTTACGAGAGGGGAAAGCGTGAGGGTTGATGATCAGATCGGGCTGGATACCACTCTCGGAGAAGGGCATATCCACGGCGGGCCAGAGCTGAGAGCAAACACCCTTCTGACCGTGGCGAGACGAGAACTTGTCACCGATGATAGGCTTACGGGGAATGCGGTACTTGACGCTGAGAGCCTGGCCGGGCTCGACTCCGGATTCCGCTCCCAGAATGCGCACGCTGTCGATGTATCCTTCTTCGGCGTCCTTGTACTTGACGAAGTGGGTGATTCCATCAACGTTGACATACGAGTCGGAGGCGGCGTCGTAGCGCACCGTGTGCCAGGCGGCGACGAGACTGCCCTCCTTCACGCGGGCACCGATGTGCGGAAGACCGTCTTCGTCCAGTGTGGCACGCCAGTCAGCGCGAATCTCGCCTCCTGGGGCGAAACCGAAGAGCTTGGTGACCTCGCGTCTGGACTTGCCGCGGCGAGAGTCCTTCTCGTCGAGGGAGTGGATCTTGGTCTTGTAGATCGTACCGTAACCAAAGCCACGCTCGTGTGAGGATTTGTTGATAATCATAGCGTCGTCCATGTCGTAACCGGTGTAGGAGATAATAGCCACAACGGCGTTGGTTCCGTTGGGGAAGTTGTCCAGACCGTACGCGTTGTAGAGAGGGGGGCGAACAATGGGCGTTTGACCCGTCTGCAGTCGGTAGAGCTTGTTGTCTGTACGGTATTGAATGGCAGTACCGGGCGTACCCATCGTTTGCTTGCTCATCTGGCACTGGTACATGTTACGAGGCGACTGGTTCTGGTCGGAGAAAGGCGTCATGTTGGCGACAATAGAGAGGATGTTGGTAGGGGTGAACTCGATGTGTGTCGACACGCCGGAGATGAGATCCTGCGGCAAGCATGCAATCTCCATGAAAGGCTGTTCGAAGGGACCAACATAGTCCAGCTTGTCGAGCCCAAGGTGCTTGACGGGTCGATACATTCTGGCGGCTTGCGAGAACATGTAGATACCAGGGTATTGGCCACCGTTGGTGTTGGGAATATAGCCAATTTCCAGCTCGCGTGGGATCTTGTCAGAGCCCATTACCTTCCAGCGTCGCAGGGTGTTGGCGATGGCAGAAGCCTGTTTTGGTGAGCAGTAACCAATGATTCTGCCATCAAGCTGGACAGTGACGCTTTCGGTCACAGACACGGAGGAGTCAGAGCGGACACCGAGCTGAACCAGCGCCTTGGGGATATGGGTAGTGTCCACATCGCTAGTTGCAATCAAACACTTGTGCGCAAGGTGGTTAAGCAGACCACAGGGAGAACCATCAGGAGTGTGCACAGGGCAGAAGAAACCCCAACTCTCGGGGAGCAGCTTACGGACGGTTGTCGTCTTCAACTGGGCGAAGAAACTACCTCTGTGAATCATGCGGAAGTGACTGATGAAACGGTAGAAGTTGATCTTCTCCGCCATGACTGTGTAACCGGAAGGTTGTTGCAAATCGAGACCAGTAGGACTGACGAGGTTACCCGTGGACAGGAAGTACTCCAGGGCACCACCGAGATTCTCGTTCGAGCGCTTGACGACCTTAGCCAGGAAATCCCTTTCAAAGGCCGGATCCGTGAACTTGGCACCGCCATTGCGGTTGGACCAATCCCTAAGGATTGGCTGGAAGGACCTCACCCACTCCTCGAGTCTTTCCTTCAAGATCATTCCGTAGAGGAATCCACCAAGCAGAATCTCCTGGTTGGAAACAGCATCCGGGTTGTCAGGAGCGCAGTCACCAGCAACCAGAGCATAGAGCTTCCGGATCATGAACAGGATCATCTTGAACTTGTCATAGTCCTGGTTCTCAGTGACGTTCTGGTTTCCAAGGTGAGGCAGAACGACCTTGCGGAGGAATTCCGTGCCAGCATCCTCGTTGGACATGTCTGCTGGCACACCGAGAACAGGCCTGAACTTCTCTCCGAGGTAAGCCCGGCAAGCGGCGCGACTGTGTGTGTTGTATGCCTTGTAAACCCGCAAAAGCAGCTCGACACGGTCAGTCACGAAGGTGTTCTTGATTCCCTCGGAAGAAGCGCTGCCAACGATGCCCTCGAAGATTTCGCGGTCGTTCGTCTCCACCAGGGCCTTGAGGATCATCATCACCGGGACGAGATACTCGGCCTTACGCCACGAGAAACGGAAAGTCAGGTTACCGTCGGTAAGGTAATGAAGGACGTTGGTCTGCGACGTCTGATCCGGCCGCACCGAACGTATTTGAACACCATATTTGGTGTATGTGTGTCCACGGCGAACGAAGGAACCACGGATAATCGCCATGGGATAGTTGCGCTTTCCAACAACCAACATTCGAATGAGTTTCTCGTTACCGTTGACAATGAAATAACCACCCAATTCCTCCGACTCTTCCTTGTGCTCGACAAGTTCACTAGGCGTGGCCTTTTCCAAATGGCAGCGGTTGGTCTAAGTAATCACGCAAAGTTAGATAAGAGAATTTTCCCCTGCATATTTGATCCAACTGCTAATGTGATCGCACTCACCCTCAACATGATAGGAACCTGGCCCAATTCTCTGACTGACTCCATCCAGTCCCCATTGTTGACCCGCCATTCGATTCTGGCGCGGAGCTTTCCACGGTACGTCGCATGGCGTTCTCTGCATTCCGAAGGGTAGATGTTGCGGTTGCGCGTGGTGAACTTGTTTGACGGAGGCAGGGCCGGCTTCTCGAGGAAAACCTCGCTGACACGGACATGGAGCTTGTTCCGCTTGGGCGCCTTGCGCCCCTCTGCCTGCCGCGCTTTCTTTTGTTCAGGAGTCTCGGCTTCGCCGTCGATGAAGGTCTTGGTGCCAATATCCTTCAGGGCCGCCTCCAGCGTCTTGGGACCGTCAAAGAGCGCATTGAAAGAATCGACATGCGGGCGGATGGCAGCCGCCAAGGCCGGATATGCGGTCTGGTCCTTGGGAGGGTTGCGGAAAAGCTTCTCCCGTCTCAGGACGTCGTAATTGACCGACCAATTCGTGTCAGTCGCCGCGGGGGCCATGGTGAATTATCTCAAGTCGTCTTGGCCGGGAGATCGGAAAAAGGCGAGAAAAAGTTCGATTGAACTTCCGTATCCGTAGGATCCGAAGCACCGGAGGTGAAGATGGGTGCTAGTAAGCGGGCCCAATGCTCATTCCCTCCTGGTATAAGGGATCGCGAGAGCGACGAGGGAGGTAGGGGAGAGGAGATGCGACTCGCACAGAGAGCCGGAGTGCTGGTCTGGAGAGCAACGAACCTCGTCGTCGCTCGACGGGGAAATTTTTCGAGGTGGACCCGGCGGACAGATATCGTCACGTGGTGATAGTGCTGTGTTGCCTGAGGCACCAAGTTTGACAAGTCAATTACATAATCGATGCATACGTCACGGGACAGACGCACGGGATAGGGAAGAACCGCCTTAGGCAACAAGGCAATCCCGGGAATGCGTCAGTTCCAGCTTAACTCAATTAATGACCCAGTTATGTAACTAGAAAACTAATATATCGGCGAAAGATCTATCTTTTCCAAAGTGTCGATACGTAGTTCTCATTTTTCCATCATTATCCCGAAATACTATCTTATTACTCGCGCATTTACTCTTCCGGGGAGGAAGATAATTAAATATTGGTGATAAGGCGGGTCGAGATACTGCGAACGAACTAGTCCGGTAGTATCAATCCGCCGGCGACAGATTACCTGGGCTAAGCCGCGACTATTGGCTGCCATCTGAAAGCGCAGCTGTTAATAATATCATCATTGCTGCTCGGGGACTGTCCTCCATTTCCCGGTTTGTCGATAATTAATGACTTTCTCGTGCGACTGAGAGCCACCGGTTCCCACTCCTGAGAGCAACTAACCGTGACTAGTTGGTCCTTTGACCCTCTTACCGATTCCTCAGTAAGTCAGGACTAGGGGAATATACGAGCGATTGACACGGAACCTGGGCTTAAAACTGACAGGGACCGGGCAGGACTAGGCGCTCCCCTCCAGCGCGCGGCGGCGCAAAAGCGAACGGTCATGCGTGCCCATAGATCGGACCAGCTCTAGTTTCACCGCAAAGCAAAGAGGCATCAAAAGAAGAAATATTCTTTTCTTGTCGCCATCACTAGGGAACAACCAACCGACCCTGGGGAAATTGCCGCCTTCTTTTTTTCGCGCCGCTTCGACCTCACCCTCACCTTCTTTTCCTGCTCAGCTGCTCGGAGCGTGGGAAACTTGCTACGACCGCCACTCTTTTTTCGAATCCACCCGCCCATTATCTCCCAGCACACCGGTTAACTACTACCACCTACTATTTTCCTCTCGCATCTTTCCCCAACTACACCCACATTATCCTCTGCTTTTCCCTGCCCGGAAAGAGAAGGCTCAGTTGTTCTCCCCTTTCAGCAACCCACTCCACCCCCACTTAACCTTACAAAAATTCCTCTGCTCAGGAAGTGTCGATATATTTCTCCCACCCGTCGTCGATCGCCCACCAGCCGAGACAAGCAGCGCCCTTTCGACCTGCTTCCACCAAGTCAAAATCTTCCCCCTACTTAAACTGTCCCGTCACCCTCTTTGCTCTGATCGCGCAGACGACACAAGGCGCAAACCCTTTCTTTAACCAACATGGCGGGTATCTTTCGCACGATCTATGACTGGCTCCTGAGGATGTTCTGGTAAGTGGGCCGCCGTCCCAATAAGTAATCGCTTTTTCTCCGGGAATGGTTCCCCCCTCCTCGGCCCGTCCCCGCAGATAAGGAATCATTCGATTTGCTAAGATGATATATTTCGCACCCGCAGGGCGACAGAGATGGATGTCACCATGATTGGTCTCCAGAATGCAGGAAAGTCTTCGTTGTTGCGCGTGCTTGCGGTATGTCTTTTCACCCCCACGGCAACTGAACATCTTCCCGTGTTATCGGTCCTCGGCGCTAATCCCGCAGTATAGGGCGGCGAGTTCACTGTAGAGTAAGTCTCCATCGTGTAGGGCCTGGCCTGACTGCGCGACACTGGGTTGTCTGGCTAAACCTTGTTTCAGTTCTATTCCCACGATCGGGTTCAACACGAAACGAGTCCAAAAGGGCCATGTGACTCTCAAATGGTTGGTGACCCAGAGCTGAGCCTTGAGACGCCTGTGCGCAATCAATGTATCTAATATCCATCCAGCTGGGATCTAGGTGGACAGCCACGGTTTCGACCGATGTGGGAGCGATACTGTCGGGGAGTAAATGCGATCGTGTAAGTGCCTCGACTTTGTCTGACACAGGTCTCGGTATCCTAGCAGCGCTAACAACCCGACCAGATACATTGTGGATGCAGCAGATCGGGCTGCCTTACCCGTAGCCAAGGAGGAATTGCATGAGCTAATGGGCAAAGAGACGCTCAATGGGATTCCGCTGTTGGTCCTCGGGAATAAGTCCGACCTTCCGGAGAAGCTGTCGGTCGACGACCTGATCCACGAGATGGACCTGAAATCCATCACTCATCGCGAAGTGAGCTGTTATGGGATCAGCGCTAAAGAGGAGACAAACCTCGATGCTGTTCTGCATTGGTTAATTGCTCGAGCCAGTCGATGAACGGCGTGTCGTCAGCGACTCCGCTTGAGTAGTGCTGGGGGAGTAACCCCTTGGTGCTTCACCATCTTCTTTCTTTAATCCCATCCACAGGATGGTATTCTTGTAGACTGCAAAAACGATGCGGCTCGCAGCCCCGATGTAATGATGTGAACGACCGTGAACCAGACACACATTGAGCTTCAGCGTAACATTTGTCCAATCTTCAGCACCTCACCCCTGTCATGGAGTCATTTGGTTTGGTTTTCAGCAATGATGTCAGCTTCAATGTACTTTTGTGTATTTTATGTTTCTCAGGCAGTCCTTCATAGTGGAAAAACCTAAACCGCGTGGGTTGCAGACATGGACGAAGAAGAAGAGAAAGAACTGCATAGTTAGTAGCCCAACGATCAAGATAATCGAGACGCGCGCGAAAGAAAGAGAGCAAGTTGGGGAGAAATCAATCAATGCCCAACAGGCACATGATCACCAGCCAGTCCAGCAGCAGCAGCAGCAGAAGTAGCAGGTAAATAAACACCAACAAGTAGGCGAGTGAACCCAGCACCAAGGTCGGAAAGAAAGACAGATAGAACAGAGAGAGAGAGAGAGAGACAAAGACGCGGCAATCTTGATTATTTGAGGGCCAAAGAAAAACAATAATAATCCAAGCAGGATGGCCAACAGGGCCACACACACAGACCAACTGATGCGTTGGCAATGCAGATGCGCAGACGGGAACTAATCAAGCCTCCCAGCAAATCCCACCCCGCCAAACAACCTGTACTTCCCCCCCCTCTTCTCTCCCCCGGAGCATCTGCGAAGGTTTATGGCGGTTCTGGGATCGGTTTGATCCTTTCTCTCTTTTTCCTTCCGAAGTAGTAGTAGAGTGATTGGGTTACGTGTTTGATGATTTGGCTTGACTGGTTATATGCCGGGTTACTTTGCGGTTCTGCTCACTCGTGCTCGGTGTATTTGTTGACTGGGTGATGGATGGTAAATGGATTTCGAGGATGAGCAGGGTACTATTGCTTAGATACTTGCGTTGTGAAGTAAGTAGCTGCGTGGTTACGTATAGATCGGCTCCCCTTTGCTGGTAGTTATACAAATAGTAAGTACCTCGAGTCAGTGACTTGCAGAGAAGGCGTGGCTAAAGTATCTATCTGCACAGTAGCCATTCTTAGTAACGGGTACTCTATAACTAGCATTTGAATACCTCTAGGGAGTATCTACTCCGTACTCTCCGCTCAAATCTGTAAGTAGCAAGCCAGTCTCTATCTGTAACCTATCTAAGTAGTAATTCTCAATCCTAGCTAGCCTCATCTTCACGTGTTTGATGTAAATGACAGACGAATTAGCAGAGCATCCTATATCTATCTTCCTATCTAGTATAGACTATACTGAGGAGACTAGTAATCGCCCCCGCCATAAACCTGAAACATGAGCTATCTAGGTAGTATGCCGAATTAGTGCCGAAGATTGAGATGAGTGGGCTTTGCCAGGCTCCGTTCATCCAGCCTCCATTCATGTCTCGAACGATAAGCACTAATTGAAAGAGGTGCAGCAGGCTATCATAATAGCAGAATAGCTGTATAGTGCACCTCGCTTAAGTATCGAAACTGGTTATGTCTGTGACGCTAGCGTGTTGAATATGATATGATACCTTACAATCATCGAGTTGCTCGTTTTGAACGATATACTTCTGGATTAATGCGTTCGTAAATGCTTGCAGCGACAGAGTAAGCAAGAAAGTAGGTATGACATGGCTTACTGTACCTTCTTTACGTGAGATGAGAGTATCGACAAAGAAATCTCAAATCATGGCCGGAAAAGGCAATCCGGACATGCGGCGGAATACTCCGTAGAGACATGAGACTGGATAGAATTCTTCCGGATACTACTTTTGCCCCTACGCAAAACAATAATGGGTGGAGGATTGCGATCGAGGCCAGGTCATGGGTACAGTGATTATTACTTGGTTACTGATCTATTGCATGTCATGTCAATGTAGCAAGCAGAAGCGGTCAAGCAGATGATGTTGCTGCTACTGCTGGTGGTGTTGTTGTTCGTAAAAAGCTCGTGGTGGCTGTGATGTGAGTCTTTAGTGAGCATCTGTATCGTGCCGAGGCACCAAATACCTACCGACCGTTCAACGATGATAATAGGTGCGCTGGCAGCGGACCCAAAATTGGACAAGCACAACATGATTATGTCTCGGTTGACTTGACTTTTCGGAAAACTGAGGGGAAAAGACAAGACAAGACGTGGTGAAGAGTGGTTCCAACTCAAATGATAGAGACGAGTGGATGAAAGAGGCACGCGATGAAAAGTTGTAGTTGAATAATTGGACAAGTTGAGAACAGGCACCCGAATTTTGGAGGGACAGCAGTGGGTGGATAGGATAATCGACTAGTCTAGTGCCGGTCGTTGCAGTCACAGGCTCCACCGGATGCGATCCAAGGTCTTAGATACGTAGTAGTATCCTCTCGCTTTCTTGACACTCTTAGTTTAGTGGCTGGTTAAAGTCGTGTCAATCAATATGGAGAAGAGGTCCGGTCTGGTCAGGCAGGAACGGTGGATGAACGCGGTGTGTAGATCTAAATGATTCATGAACCATTCATTTATGGTTTACTGTCGGAATTCGGAACAGCAAACTAGTTAACTTTTATTCCCCTCTCTTTTACTAATATTCTGGTTCACTGCTACCGTTTGATGTGTCGAGTGGCTACTTGGAAGTGGAATACGTACGACACTTTGCCAGCGGTGGGGGGTGGGAAGGGAAAAGAATACTACTACGTCAAACACTGCCGAAGTGAACTTTTGGGATGGATGACTTACTAGTCTGCTTAAAGATTCTTCAACGGAAATGGTTGGATCTGTCTAGTCCAACTAAACTAAGTATTAGGCCACCATCATTCAGGAAAAGAAGTAAAAAATTTTTATTCTTAAATTCATTAATATTCATAATTTATTATTTCTTATTTTTCCCCCTTCGTTCTTCTCCCTTTCCTTTCCGATCACCTCACCAACAACTAGAAGTTTATTCATCGTTCCGGGTGTTTGCCCAGCCACTGAGCCACACTGGCACCGGCTTTTCCAGCCCTACATTATCCAATCGCCGGCCGGTCCCCATAATAACTTACCCGTGCAGTTCCTTTCGCTTTGCTGCTGCCTTCAGACGCCCAGAAGAACTTCACTGCTTCTTCCCTTTCCCCCCCTACCTTACTCCTGTCTGAATCCCTTCCTCGCCCTGAAGGGTTTACTGAAACTTTGCGATTCTCCTCCCACCGGTCTTGTCTATATTGACCTGCCGTCGCATACTTTCTTTTCCACTTCGCTCTAGACTCATTGTTCCCTGTACCGCCTGATCGACGTCATCTTCCGCCTCCCCCCCAGGCCTCGGATAGAGAGGTGCAGCCACCATGGGTGTTCTACTTCGACGTCGAGACTGGTATGTTTATGGCTGGCTTGTCTGCCTGATCATCCCTGGTTGGAGCGTTTTCTAGGCTTCATCAATCATGACTGGCCCCTAGTGCTGTGGTACATTAGTTCGGGTGGCTGACCGTCTCTTGTAGTTATTACACCGTCAATGGCGAAGTGTGTGATGGCAGTACTTGGTATGATTGGGGTCGTTGGATCGCGTTTGCAGTCATTGTCGCTGTGGCGCTAATCATCTTCTTCCTCTTCGCGTATGCACCTCATCTTCCTGGTCCAGGATTCTGCCGCTTTGATTGGAGACTAACGAGTACGGTAGATGCTACAACGCCCGCCGTCGGCGCAGACAAGGGCTCCGACCTCACCCCGGCACCGCATGGCTTGCCGGCCCTCCTCCGACCTTCCAACAGTCTCAGCAACAAGCACAGCAACAAGGTCAACGACCGTATTACGCCGACCCTTACTACCAACAACCGCCGCCGCCTCAATACACCCCTCATCCGCAAGCTTATGGATATTTTGGAGGCCAGCAGACGGGAATCGAGCTCCAACAACCGCCGACTGCATACCACGGTGGCGAACGGGTGTACCAGCCACCACCGGGTCCTCCTCCCGAGGCGACTTCCAAGGTGTAACGCTCCGACCAGTATTCCGTGAAACGACTTCTCTCTCTTCTCCTCTCTGTCTCCAGATACCCGATCCAAGGGGGTTCCTTGCGATCGACTATTATGTAATTACCCAGGCGTCTCTTCGATGATCAATTATTGGGATATTTGTCGCTCTCTGCGTCTCATAGCGTTCCGTGCTAGGAGGGATACCAGGGGCCAACGTGTGACGGGTTTATGAGTTTCTTTGTGCCTATTTCTCAAATTTCATGGTAATCGTACTATAATGGCTTATCGGGGTAGTGTTTTTTTTTTTTTTTTTTTTTTTTTTTTTTTTTTTTTTTTTTTTTTTTTTTACCGTCTATGATCATGGCGCCAACATTCAATTTATCATTCTGCTTTTTCTCTATTTTTCTTTTTTTACCTTTTTTTTTTCCACTGCAATTATTGTCCTGAGCTGTGTGATATATGAGGTGAAGGCAGCAGGAACATAAAAGAGGCCGACACCAACACAACGTGAATAGCTTATTACAAAGTACAATACTACAATAATATTAGGGAGGAAGGAACCGTTCCGAAGAGCGATGTTTGTCATCAAACGGTGGACCCGTCTGTCAAAAGCGAGGATGCCGATATCTGCCTGTTCTGTGCGAACTCGTATCCTGTTCGTTGGGTCGAACCCGCGCCTAATCGAAACTAGTCTGCGAAAGGGCGAACGGGGGTGAGAAGCGATCAGTGATTGTCCTTCCCCTGGACTGCTGGGATGGAGAGAGAGAGGGAGAGAGCCTCCATCCCTTCCCTTGGCAGCCTTCAAGTAGTAAGGAAGTAGATTGTATTCAAGTATCATTATGTCTCTCGTATTGACCGGAGAATATCTCAAGAAGGACCTACTGTGTCGAACTTCGGGAGGCTGACTGTGCCCCAAGAAACGCACCCTTTATGTATGCCACCATGCTGGGGTGGACACCGCGACTGCCAATGAGAAGGGGCAGCATGCTGGAACAGCAGAAGAGCAAGAGGGAAACCCGGAAAAAGCCATGCGATGAGAGAGATCGACAGCAGTGGAGAGGGTCCGGCGAGGCAGGAAACGGGCGGTTTCATCTGCTGGTTAGCTGGGTTCGAGACAGATTAACCCTCCCTGACCCGGTCAGACGCTGGTATTACACCTTGATCCAGAGTGAGATTACCTGTGTATAGCAGTGTAATACAGGCTTCTCGCTTGAATTCAATTGCGATGGGCGGACAAGCAAAGCCAGTGAGTGGCTCTCCGCAATGCGCGCTGATCTCCTGTTCCTGAGTTGAGTGCCTGTTCTTCCTCCCCAGCCCAATTTAAATCCAATTGAACCCGCTGTTGCATCCCTCGTTTTCTTCTTGTTGCCTTCTTTCGGTCGCCCTTCCACCCATCCCTTCCCTTCATTCGGCCTTAGGGACGACCTTTGCATCCCTCACGACCAAAGTCTTTCCTTTGCTGGTGGTCCGAGGAGGAATCGCATCTGGCGAGCTATTGTGTCCGCCTTGCAGATTCCCTGGCGATCTGCACATGATCCGATAAATCTATCCCAATTCCCCTGGGAGGCTGTGGTGGCGCACTGTTTCGCGGTCCGCACTACACACCACCACCACCATCATTAATTTCCACATTCATTGCCTTTCCTCTCGTCCATCTTCATCTGACGATTCGGATCTCTCTCTTTCATATTCCCTGTTTTGGGGGAAGTCTCTCCTTTTTACAAGAATAGATTATCACTATTTCTTACACAGTTACTGTGTGTCTCTCCTTGAATCAATTCCGATCGCCTTGTTGAGCATTTGCGCGCTCTTCCTCTCCCTCCCTTCCTCGGTGCGACTGTCGCGCAACGCCGCAAATTGAGCCACTCATTACGATACCGAATCAGTGACAGTAGACAAAGCCAGATGTGTCTCTGCTAACCGTTCATTAAAACTGCTTACTTCGAAAACCGGATTGGAAGAACTATCCCTTGGTGCATAGTCGCTTATCTCATACTGTGCTTTTGTTGCATGACCGCGCCAGCTGTGTGTCAGGAACACGCTCTATACCGTCTTTGGTCGGCTGTGGGACTCGAAGGATTTCCCGGTGGATCGCGCACGTCTTGCCAGGATAATGAGTCCGGTGGATAAGGCTCCCGTCCCCTTGTGGGCGAGGGATGTTGTGAGCGATCTCAAGTCCGACGCCAGTACGTTTACTAGTTGGGACAAGTGCATGTCCAAGGCTTACTGCAAGTGAGTTTCTGTTTCTTTCAATCGTTGTTTTTTGAATGTTTCTGACCCAGTTTACTATCAAGGTGGCCTGTTATCGTCGCTATCATCATCGCAGCGCTGATTCTCCTCTCCGTTATCGCTTGTGTGATCAATTGCCTGTGCTGTGGTGTGCAATGTTGCAAATGCTGTTGTGGATGTTGTTTCAAGTGCTGCCCGGGTTTCAAGAGGAAGAGGAACAAGCAAAAATACTTGGACGACCAGTATGACCAACCGCCTCCCATGCCTGCTATGCCGACAATGCCAGCACCTATGAACAATGCCTATCAGACGCCCTACCAACCACAGGCACCGCCCGTGTACCGTGGAGCAGAAGTGGCACGGTTCGATACGCCGTCAAGCCCGGCACACGGAAAGTTTGACGAGGATGCATTGCCCGCCATGCCTACCTGGGAAAGTGCCGTGACAAAGAAGGTCGAGGATGAGGACCCCCACGCGGAATCACTCGAGATGAAACCTCTGAGCAATGCGAACCAGGAGCCTCGTCGCATGCCCTCTGGTGCCCGATCTGTTACAGGAGGCTATGGCGGCCCTCCGCCGTCGAGGATCGCAACGCCTGCTGCACCAGGCGCATACCATTCCGAGCCTCGAGGATACGACGGATATGATGGACCGGACGCTTATGGCTACCACGCGCCTGGTCCACGGTCGCCTCCGCCAGTTTCTCCATACGAGCACCAGCCGTACAGCGAATATCCCCACGAAGACCGCTTCCATAACATGTCACCGGCTCCCACGTACACCACGCAACCGCAGTATATGCCCATGGACGCGACGCAATCCCATCATGCACCTATGGACGGCATGCAGCCATATCAGATGCCCATGGACGGCATGCACCCGCATTATATGCCACCAGAGCCTGCGCACTCGCACTACATGCCGCCGCACCAGATGCCTCCGGATACAGGCACGTACGGACAGCCGATGCCGATCAACAGGACATTCTCTCCAGCTCCGACGCTCCACTCGGCGATGAGTGCGCCTCGTCCGGTCCCGTACCGCCAGCCTTCTCCAGGCTTCCAGGCCTCGCCGTACCGCAACATGTCTCCAGCGACTCCCACATCGCCCCCTCCTCCGTTCTCTACGACCCCTGCGCCTCACGAAGCCAATGAGCCGGGCCGGCCCCCAAGTCTTTTGCAGAGCGGACGCAGGCCTACCAACTTTTAAGTCGCCTTCCACCCCCAGTAGCCATGATATTTTCAGCAACCGGTCTCATGACCGAAGCTGACCCTACTCGCATGTGCTTGGCACGTCCCTCCATATGGGAGCAGCGTGATGGACGCACTGGCACTCACGCCTCAAGGTAGGCTTCCAATCAAGCCTGGAAGTCCAAGCAAGCCGCTTCAGGCCACATCCTAACAGCCAAATATATTGGCTAGACCAGTGATGCCTCACCCGGCATGTCTCTTTCTCTAGAGCACCTCCTCTCGCTTCACCAGGGCACCCTAGTGGCTAATGCCCTTTTCTCTCACCCCGCTTGTACATACAAATTCTTACCCTTCGATCCTCCAGCCCGCTATGACCCAACCGAATCCTTTCTGCATGATGTATGCTTGAATTAAATGATAGAAAGTATAACGAACGGCACCTGTCATGCCTGTACAGGGTTATTTCAGTGGCTTTACTAGAACAATCTTGAGAAATACAAGACCGTTGATCCGGTTACTATCTCCAAAGATATATGCAACCATCTTTTAAGTCTCAACACATAAATTTAGAATGAAATCTTCAGCAAATATTTTCATTCATATAATACATTAGTACACTGACTACAAAAACCCAAATCAACATACCCAGAATATCTCATCCCAATATAGAATATCCTAGGGAATAACTACTCCAGCGTAAAATCCCACTCCTTAAAAGCTTCCTTAAACGCCACCGCATCCGCCTCCTCCTCCTGAACAGACTGCACATCATCCTTCCAATTAATGCGCTTCTCCAACCCCATCAACTTGGCCATGACTCTGCGTCCGAACTGCAAATCGAACCGGAAGTCCGGACTAAGTGGCAGGAGGAGCGTTTTCTCACTTCCTTTGTTACCGTCCTCTTCCTTATTCTCAGGCTGAGCCTCAGCTCCAGTTTCAGTGTCTGAAGCAGCAGCCTGCTGCGGAGGCTCCCAAATCCACACGCGGAAGAAGTCACCCGGTTCCGCGCTCTCATCACCGTCATTAGGTTGAGATTGGGATTCGAATCTTGGATACTTCAGATTCTCAGCCTCGACCTTGAACGCCGCGTCGACGAGGCCCCGGCGCACGAGATCAGCAGGGACAGGGAGGAATTGCCAGTGAATGTGGATTCCGTTTCCGCGGGAGACTTCCCATGTTACTGCGCCCAGGGAATTGTTTGCGCGGTGGCGCAGCATGGAGTGCAGGGCGGAGCGGTAGCGGTGCATTTCGGCGTAGGTGGATTGTCTGGATGTGGGGTCTGAGATGCTGGAGAGAGTGGGGGAGTGGGAGAAGGGGATTATGAGCATGTGGGAGGGAAACTTGAGTGAGGGATAGGTCTTGGAGGTGGGCAGGGGACCCTTTGCGGTGGTGAGGTAGGCTTCGTCGCCGATGGAGGTGATGAGGTGGGTTGCGATGTTGGGGTTGGAGAGGCAGAAGAAGCATTGGTCTGGGCCTGGAGGGGGCGCGCGAGCGCGTCTTTTGCGCGGGCGGTTGTCGTGATCGTCGTCAACGGCGAAGCGGTGGTAGGAGTCGCGTTGGGATTGGAGGGGTTTGCGTTTCGTGGGGATGGGAGCGAAGGGGGGTGCGGTTGTGCCGGCGGGGATGGTGAGGGCTGGCGGTGCCTTGGGGTCGAGGGTGAAGGCGTACATCCATTTGGTTTTGGTGGTTTTGCTGTATGCGGCCAGACTGATGAAGCGGGTGAGGGGTTTGGCGTCGGGGTTGTCGGTGTCCTCGGTGGGGAGGTGGAAGAAGGGTTCGCGCTCCCAGAAGAAAGGCGCTGAAGGAGAAGAGGTGGTATCGCGGTTTAAGGGTTTGAGCAGAGGTCGGCGACGCATTGGACTTCGGTTGGGGGGGTGTCGGTGTCGGGGAAGGGGGCTTTGGAGCCGACGCGGATGTCCTTGGGCCATTGGTGGGTGATAAGGATGTCGGCTTGGTGGGCGCCGTAGAGGGCGCGCGCGTCGGATTCGGTGTAAGAGGGGTGGTATTTTTCGGAGGATTTGGAGTCGGGGTCGAGAGTGCCTCCTAAGGAGACGAGACGCACGCCTTCGGAGGTCTTGAGGGTGCCGCGACGACCCAGGAAGTAGAGATTAGGGCAGACTTCGTCCTTGGATTCGATGGCCTCGATGATGCGCGTGGGGAGAGGACTGCTACCCAGGGTGAAGTAGGTGGGAAGAGGCACGACGATGTTGCCTTGGAGCAGAGCGCTGATCTGCTCGAGTTCGTGCTCTGTGGAGCAGTCGCCGAATAGGTCGCCGACGATGATGGCGAAGGAGAAGTTCTGCTTGATATGCAGCTTGGAGAGCTTGGTGAAGACGTCTTGCAGTTCGCAGTTGACGTCTCCGATGACGACTCTGGGAAGGAGTTAGTGAAGTACTTTGAAAAGTGAGTTGAGCTAGACTTACATCTTCGACGCCATTATGGAGTAGGGGAATATCACTGGATACTAGTACTATGATGCAAGAAGCAGCTTTAACATATTAGGGTGTGATGTCGGGATTGTGTCTGTAGCTGCAACTGAAATATGTAAAAGTCAAGATATGATAAAGAGCCTTCTGGTAGAAGTCAAAAGATAATGAAAAATGTATGCCAATGCGCGTTTGCAGCTCCACCAGCTGATGCTATTGAACGAGGAATATTCGAGTTATGCCGAAATCGCCAAAAATGGATTCGAGGAGCTTGGGCCACCTGCATAGCACGTGATGCTCACCTAGCCTGATGTGGCTAGCGCAGACACTGCATAAGGCCGGGCGGTGAGCTAATCTCCGCACCGGAAGAAGGTTGCCGCGGACCCGATGAATTTTTTTGTCTATACTATTACACAGGCAGAGGGGAGAGTTGGAGATACCCACCCCTTGACTTTTTGACGATTTATTTGTAACGACGCTGCTCGTCTCGTCGCCATCATAATACACGATGGTCGCAGCGTCGTCATCTTCGCGGGCTAAGCCCGTGAAGCGCGTGAAGGGTGGGACAGAGACGACCAAGTCGCATCGATTCGAGCCGTTCTCCCAGCGTGTCGCAAAGTTGAAGATCGACCCTATCCATCGTGTGCGCCGACCCAGCTTTGGGGAAGAAGCCGATGAGACCTCATCCTATTTCCGGTCCGCCTTCGAGCACTGGGTCGAGTTGAATTTGTCGGACAATTTCGTCCAATTTGTCCGCAAGGTGAATCCGCTGTGCGAGAGTTTGGCTCAGATCCTGTACCACGAGGACAAGATCATGAACCTGCTTGTGGAATATATTGAGAAGAGGGACAGTTTGTCTATGGAGCCGTTGCTGGGTCTCATGGCTCAGTTCGCGCGGGATTTGGGAGTCAGGTTCGAGAAGCATTTCGCTACGGCGGTCACTCTGGTGGCGTCCGTTGCCGCAAGCCATTCCGATGTCGAGGTCGTCGAGTGGGCCTTCAGCTGTTTGGCCTGGATATTCAAGTTCCTTTCCCGGCTTTTGGTGCCCGATCTTAGACAGCTTCTCGGTATCATGACGCCGTATCTCGGAAAAGAGCGCCAAAAGTCGTTTGTTGCCCGCTTCGCCGCTGAGTCCATGTCATTTCTTATTCGCAAGGCCGGCCCCGTCTACTACAAAAATACAACTCCTCTCCAGCGCGCCGTGTCCTTCCTACTTGATGATCTACGCCAGGCGGCCGAAGACGGAAACAATGTGGAGATGTACAAGGAAGGTCTTATGGCTATGTTTGCCGATGCCATCAAGGGTGTCAAGTACGGAATTCACTCCAACGGAGCCGACATTCTCAGCTGTATCTTGGACAATATCTCAACGGGCGACGATCTGCGGGGTAGTCTAGGACTCGACGTTGCAAGCGGAGTTGTGATAAACATCATCCATTGCACTACCCCGGACACTTTCGAACCGATTCTCGACCTCATCAAAACGTATATCGAAAAGAACTGTCGCAAAGGAGAGAAGCAACACGCCTCTGCATGCTGTCGACTGATTTTCCTGTGTGTTGCGACTCGCAAGGGTACCAGAGTCAAGAACTGGAAGCCTGTTCACCAGACATTGCTCCTTCTGCTCCAGAACGCTGCGGGTGCACCTAGCGCATATGCTGAGGCCACGCCGCAGCTCCTGACTGCAGTCGCGTATGCGCTCCAAGTGTCTCCGATGGATGAGATGCTGCCATTTATGCGCTCGATCATGGATGCTGTTAGCAAGGACGAACTCTCGACGCATTTCCTTGCTTTCTGTGCCACATTCTCGGAATGGGGACCGGAGAGATTCCACAGTGTTGTCCTCCCTTATTTCCAAAAGTTTGTCAATAATTCATGGCAAGAACACGAGCACGAGCTTTGCCTGGCGTTGCTCCGGTTGAACCGGCTGGTTGCATCACGTCCGAGGTCTCCAAGCCTGGATACATCACTTGTCCTGCTTCCTGGAAATCCCGGGTCAAAGACACCTTCAGCAAGTCTGACCACAACGACACTGAAGTTACTCTACTCAGCGCCTACGCCAAACTTCCCAGCGCCTTGTCGCTATCAGCAGAACCGTCTCTCATACCCGAAATGACCAGCACTCTTCATAGCCATCTTGTCCGCGTTTTAAAGCAGAAGAGTCCTGATACCTCCGCTACAACCAAGCTTTTCTTGGGCCAAGGGTTCAAGACCTATGTGGACCTTGCGACGGCTGCTAATGAACTCGACAAGACTCTTTGGGACCGTATTAGCAAGGTCGCGGCCCAATACTCTCGCCTCCCGGTCTTCCTCCAGGCCACGTTAGACTACATAACAGCCTGCAATAAAGATATCGACATCAAAGGTTCAGCCATTGAAGAATTTGCGGAAGTCCTGATCTCTAATCTTAGTGGTCCCTCCCACAAGCTGCGGTTGTTGTCCTTGAGGATTTTGCGGGAACTCGTACTGGCTTCCGGAGAAGATGCCGAACTTGTCTCTCTGGCAATCGAGATCGAGGAGAGCCCGTTGACCTTGCAAAGTGCTAGGGTTCTGGCAATGCATGTACGCAAGCTTGCATTAGCTTATCCGCAGGTCGTTTCGCGCAGATGGATGGCTAGACTGCTCCCCAATTTCTGCTTTGGTTTGTTGTCCAAGAAGATGGCGCCTCTGTGGGATGATGCTGCTGCTGCCATGAAGTCTATGTGTGAGAATCCCGAGGGCGAAAAGATAGTTTCGGACCTAGCCTTCCAGTGGCTCCATGAGAGGGGGTCGGGTGACGCAACGACAGATGCGGAGGAGGAGGACCCCGAGTCCTACGTCGGAGGACATTATACTTGCTCCAATGCAGCCAAAATTGAGGATATCTCCTCTAAATACTTCGAAAACCCCGAGAGTCCAGTTACGACACTGACTGAAGGATTCGAGAAGGACCACACGTTCACCGGAGTTATTCCGGCTTCGCCGAGGACCCAGGCTTTGCGTGTTCTCAACGCTGTACCGAATATTGCTGAGAAGAAGTCTCGTCAAGTTATTCCGTTGTTCCTTTCTTGGGCTCTGCGTGACGAGGAAGATGTTCCCACCGGTGCTGAGTCTGACGCTGCTGACGCCTATATCCCTTGGGGCTTCCATGATCGGCTGTCGTTCCTTGGCCTCCTTGGAAAATTCCTTAATCCTCGTGTGCTGTATAAGGCACCGGAGGTTCATGAAGCCCTCATGGGATTGCTGTGCCATGGTAACTCAGAGATCCAAAAGTCTGCACTCAAGGCCCTCTTCACCTGGAAGTCTGCGAGCATCACCCCTTACCAAGAGAACCTTCTGAACATCCTGGATGAGTCACGTTTCAAGGATGAGCTCTCTGTGTTCGTCCGTACTGGTGGTGACGATAGTTTGATCGAAGAAGCTCACCGGGTCGAGCTTGTTCCTGTTCTCCTCCGGCTTCTGTATGGTCGTATGATCTCGAAGGCCGGTGCAAGCTCTAGCCAGGCAGGCCAAGCAGGCCGCAGAAAGGCTGTCCTCAGAACGCTGTCTCAGCTACCGGATAAGGAATTTGAAATCTTCATGCAGGTCTCGTTCGGAGCGCTTGGAGAACTCGATTTGGTCCAGGACAACCAGGTCAATCAGCAGGCTTTCGAACAAGACCTTGTCAGCCCTAGACGCCAGACTGGTTTGCTGAAGATGATTGAAACCGTTTTCGAGACGCTTCAAAGCCGGATGGTCCCTTATGCAGAAAAGTCTATGCAGGTGGTACTTTACTGTCTCGTTCGGGCATGCCGCGAGATAGAAAAGGACCAGGCCCCTGCTGCCGATACGCCAGAGGGACGTTTGCTAACAGTTCTGCGCAATATCCGACACACATGTATCCGTTGTTTGGAGCTTATCTTCTCTAACACTCAGGATCAGGACTGGTCGCCCTACGTGCGCACAATCTATGAGGACGTGATCAACCCCAGGCTTGAGAATTTTGCAACTGAAACGGCTCAGGGTGTGTCAGGTCTCCTCAAGTTGTTCCATGTTTGGGCTTCTGCTCCTAAGTCATCATTCTACCTTGTCCAATACAACGATGCTCTGCTGAAGAAGGTCGTAGACTGCCTGGGTGTGGATTCGGCCCGGGATGAAGTCAAGGTCTTTGTCATGGACGAGATCCTAGTGCCACTCATCAATCTCTCAACCGGCAAGGAGCTTCAGGAGCAGGAGAAGATGAGCGATATCCCTGCCGACGAAATTCGTTCCGAGGTTTTGTCGCCCTATATTGAGCACACCCTGTCTCATCTCAGCAGGCTTCTCAAGCGTGGTCCTTCCCGGACCGTCCTGATTTCTGGCGTACAGACGTTGTCTCTGCTCGCGCCGTGCGTGGAGTCCTCGGAGGAGACGACTAGTCTTATTAGTATCACTACCTATCTACTCCGTCAGCCTCCGGACCGCGTCTCTCCAAGGACCAAATCTGGCCTGCTTAAATCCCTGGAACACTTCTTGCCTCTGTTCAACCCGCAAGAGGATGCCAATCTGTCCCAGGAAGTCTTTGAAGCAGTGTCGTCGATGTTCGATTATTTCAAGGACAATGCCAACAGAGAAGTTCTTGCCCGTGTCTTTACTGCTTTCGCCAAACGCGACGAGGAGCTTGTTCAGGTCGCTGCCCTTTGCGAGGACCTGAACTCCATGTCTACCAAGAGACTCGAGGTGGACTATGACCGCCGCCTATCAGCTTTTAGGGAGGTGAATGAAAACTTGTGGGAAAAGCTCAATGCCAAGCAGTGGCGGCCTCTTCTTTACAACATGTTGTACCAGGTTAAGGATGAGGAGGAACTTTCGATTCGGTCAAGCGCTTCGTTTGGATTGCGTCGATTCATGGAACGGGCAGTCCTCAATGATGTTGAGGCTTTCGAGCCTCTGGTGGCAGACGTCTTGTTCCCTGCTCTGCAGAGCGGCGTTCGCCAGAAGTCTGAGCTCATTCGGTCCGAGTTCATTACTGCGCTTGGTTACTTTGTCAAGCTGAATCCAGACCGTTCTAACG